CACTGGAGCGCAGGAAGGTTGGTAGCGATAGAGAGCATTGAGCTGTTCTTTCAACACGTCGCTCGCCACTTTCAGGTTAGTTAGGTCAGTTGGGCAGGGCATGTATGAGTAAACATTGTTTTGACCGGTCAGAGGGGCGGGGCATGTATGAGTAAACATTGTTTTGATAGGTCAGAGGGGCGGGGCATGTATGAGTAAACATTGTTTTGACCGGTCAGAGAGGCGGGGCATGTATGAGTAAACATTGTTTTGATAGACTGGCTTGTGATCAATGTTTGATTTTTAGAGTATTCTCTCACACAATTAGACTGTAGAGCTAAAGACGTACACGGTGTGAAGCTAACTTTGATGTAAACACCCATTCGATATCACAGCAATAATGTTGTTCGTTTGACTGATGCGTGTGTATGTTTTTACAGAAAACGATACACCATCTAGAACTACAAACTGGCATTCGCCTAGACATGGAATGCTTTGAAGTGCTGTTCAAGAGGTAGGTTAACATGTTTTCTGTGTTAACAAGAAATTACTCTAGTATTAGTTCAAATTGAATCAGGTTCTGGGACTTAATTTTCTTGGCAGTAAAACATCTTATGCTGGGTGTAGCAATATTCATTTTTAGGATTCTCATGTCTCTCATTTTGAGGGCAAGAAGAAGTTGATGCTGGTGTATTTCTAAAAATGTTTTTTTTTATAAAAGTTACAATAATTTAAATTAAATTAAAATAATTTGTTACGATGTGCCTTTTTATTAGACCGGGATTAATGCGAAACATTGTGATGTTATCACTAAATAAACCGGGAGTGATCTCCCCTAAACTTTCTCGAATATTCTAATATAACACTACGTGGGATGTCAACTCGGAATATAGACATTATTTTTGTTTACTTAAACTTTTAAAAATAGAATAAAATCTAGTAGAAAAAAACAATTGCGCACCAAGCGAGCACCAAAACCAAATGTGCGTAATAGTGCGCAATATTATTAGTACTTTATAAATTGACATGCGTTTTTTTTTTGAGAAATCGGAAATAGCGTAAATTAGTACTTCCGGTCAACAGAAATTTCTCAAAATTTGAACGAAGGTAGAGAATTAGATCTTTTACTTACATGTGAAATTTCATTTATCTATCTGAATTAGTACTCAAATTATAGGCTTTTGAAAAATTCAAAGTAGGAAAAGTACCACTTCCGGTTATTGGAAATCGCTCAAAAGTTGATACGGATCTACGATTTTGATAAAATACTTATATATGAAATTTCATCAACCTAGCTGTAACGGTACTCAAGTTATCGTGTTTACACACACACACACACAGAGACACACACACAGACATACGGACAAGATTGCAAAATTATGTTTTTCCGTATCAGTGAGGTGTAAAACGTCGAGATTTGTAAAAATCTCGATTTTTTTTTTGCACGATTACAATACTTTCTCTATACTTCGTATATACGAGAAAGTAAAAAAGAGAGACAGAGCATAGAGAGAATAGAGAGACCTGTCTAATTTTATTTCTTGCTACAAGAAGATATCATTGATTAAGGTTGTCTTGCTATATTACATGTCACGTAATGATGTATACCTTGACAGATGTGTGACAAGGTCTTATTTTAGTTGAAGTCATGTATTGATGTAAGTGACGGTGTGGTCTAGCGGTAAAGAGATGGACTGCTAACCCGTAAGTCTCGAGTTCGAATCCGGGCTCAAGTCAGTAGACCGTCCCTGAGTTTACCCAACTCTGATGGGTACCTAATTCATGTTAGGGAAAGCTGAGCATAGTGCTGACCACACTATCTCTTCATATGTCGAGGTCACAGAAACAAGTGTACTACTTCACTTGCCCTATAGATCGTCAGATTTGAAAAAGGAAATTTACTTACATACATATTGCAAAAGTTCTTTTTGTAGTTGATGTCATGTATTGATGTATACTTTGGCAGATGTATGCCCTCTCCACTAGTAACCTTCCACCGAGCAGTGAAAACAACGGCACAATTTTCTTTTTTGCCCACATAAAACACAAATATTTCACAAAATGATTATCTTTTAATGTTTGTTATTTATAAGTGATACATCATATGTACACTTTATTACTAAAGACCAGCGATCTTGTAGAAGCAAATCTTAATTCATTTTTCCTTCAGCTAAGCGAAGTACGTCTGCTATATCAACATCTTTAAGCCATTTACTTGCATATAAAATCTACTTTACCTGTGTGTCCACAGTTTACAGTCGTGCAAAAATCTGGACAACTTGTCGCTAGGTTTGACCTGTGAGACGAGTGATGACGTAGAGAAGTACAATCTGACAATCAGAGATGTCATGGCTCTGTACCCAGTGTCATGTGACGTCACACTGAACGGTGAAAAAGTGAATTAAAACTTATCGTTGTGACTCGTGTTGTGGGTGCTATACAGTGCGCCATGTGCTGGGTGCTGTATAGTGCACTTTGTTGAACGTTTTATGAAAGTTTTTATTTATTAAAATTTGTTTAAACAAATCATTATCTGCATTTTGTTCTATTTTAAATCACTTGTAATTCCACAATTTACAGCCTAAAAGGCCATCACGCAATACACTCAGCAATACCCGTGTGTGTTGTGACTATGTTACAAACTTACTTTTAAGTAAAGTTCCCTTTTCAAACCTGACGGTCTATGGGGCAAATGAAGTAGAGTACACTTGTTTCTGTGACCTCGGTATATGAAGAGATAGTGTGGTCAGCACTATGCCCAGCCGCCTTTCCTTTCCCTAACGTGAGTTAGGTACCAATCAGAGTTGGGAGGACTCAGGGACGGTCTACTTACTTGAACCCGGATTCGAACTCGAGACTTACAGGGTAACAGTACAGCTCTCTACCGCTAGACCACTCTGTCCCTCTGAAGTACTTAACTTTTATTTGAATTTAACAAAACGCTTTAAATTTTTGACTCATAGGGAACGTATTATTTTTATAACAGGGCCTGTCATCTTCGAGGTTGGGATAAACAGTACAGAGTGTAATGTTTATTTTTCTAAGAACTGAGAATTTAAAAACTTTTAAAATCGGTTTTTACTTTCTCGTGTGCAAAGTATAGAGGTTACCAAAAATCGCTGAAAAGTTGATACAGACATACTTATTTGATATAATACTTATATATGATATTTCATCAACCTAGCTGTAATGATACTCAAGTTATCGTGTTCACAGACACACACACGGAACAAAATTGCAAAACTATTTTTTTTCGACTCGAAGTCGTGTAAAATGATTTTTTTTTTCACGATTACAACACTTCCTCTATACATCGTATACGAGAAAGTAAAAACATCAATTTTGTTTCCATGGCGGCCGTACAAATATAATTAAGCTTGAAACAAAGTCAAAAATTTAAGAATTTAAGAATTGGTAATGAAAAAGATTCAAATTCATCTAACTCGCAAACAGTTTTGTGTGTGTTAAAGCTACATTTCTATTTATTTTCATTTTCACTTTCTAAAGACTAACATTGATTGGCTGTACAGAGAATCCGTGAAAGATCGTCTGAAAAGCCCTCGAAGTACTCACAATTTTACCCTTAGTTATGACCAGTTTATTTAAAATTCTAGAGATAAAAGACTTATAATTTTACCATTTAGAACTGGATAAGTTAATTGCAGCCGAGATCGTATCCCAAAAGTTAAATACAGCTAAGATCCTATCCCAAAAGTTAAATACAGCCAAGATCCTATCCTAAAAGTTAAGTGCAGCCAAGATCCTATCCCAAAAGTTAAATACAGCCAAGATCCTAGCCCAAAAGTTAAATACAGCTAAGATCCTATCCCAAAAGTTAAGTGCAGCCAAGATCCTATCCCAAAAGTTAAATACAGCCAAGATCCTATCCCAAAAGTTAAATGCAGCCAATGTCCTATCCCAAAAGTTAAATACAGCCAAGATCCTATCCCAAAAGTTAAATACAGCTAAGATCCTATCCCAAAAGTTAAGTGCAGCCAAGATCCTATCCCAAAAGTTAAGTGCAGCCAAGATCCTATCCCAAAAGTTAAGTGCAGCCAAGATCCTATCCCAAAAGTTAAGTTCAGCCAAGATCCTATCCCAAAAGTTAAGTGCAGCCAAGATCCTATCCCAAAAGTTAAGTGCAGCCAAGATCCTATCCCAAAAGTTAAGTGCAGCCAAGATCCTATCCCAAAAGTTAAGTGCAGCCGAGATATTATACAAGTTGTTATATTCAGCCAAGGTCCTATCCCAGTTGTTTTATACAGCCAAGGCCCTATCCCAAAAGATAAGTGCCGCTAGGGATCTCTACCAAAATTTGTTCAAAATCAAGTGGTCCATAAAAAAATCCGTCGGACAGATATACCTTGACTATGATGCTATGGGCAAAGATATATAGACTTGAATGACATAAATGTGCCATATCACATTCACATTCATCCCCCACATTTATAAATATCACAGGACAACTCCCTTCAAAGTTATTTTTTTGAAACACGCATATTAGTTAAAAGGTTCATACATTTTTTTTAATAACAAGCTTTTTATGGAATAATACACTAAAAAGGAGAAAATAAACAATGTTCTTTAAATATATTATAATACACTAATATATAAATATCTATAAAGAAAAGCGTGCTTCACTTTATTATTTATTTGATATCTTTACTTATTTACAATAGAGTTGCATGACTAAAAACTATTGCGCACCAATTAAACATAAAAATGCGTGTATAATTGTGCGGAAGGAGTAGTAATTTCAGATAAAATTAATTAATTAATAAAACATTAATTAGGCATCCAATGAAGTCCAATTTAATGTCATATTGCATTTTCTTCAAGATTTGATACACGTGCCAACTTTGAAACAAATGTGTCTGTAAGAAGAGTTTCAATCTATGACAACAGACAGAGGAACCAAGTTAAATAAAAGCTTGTAGGCCTAATAATAAATAATCCTTTTTATTTGTAATAAACGTCATCAATTAGTGTGTAGATCTAGCGCATTTGGTGTAAACAAAACGGCGTAGACTGGTTGATAGCTATCTTAAGCTCCAAATTTGAAAATGTTTTAATGTAGATTCCATATCTGGTATATCGGTTATGTAACAAACTGCATCCATGTCAGAAGAGACGAACACAGGGCGTGTGACTGTAGACCATGTGGACAGTGAGGGGGACGTGGCTAAGCGTGGTACAAAATGTACAGATCAGTGTTTGGTAGGTCGTTTTTTTCCTATTAGAATCAAATCTGTTTTACCCATTGAGGTAGGACATTTTGTAATTCTAACATTTAAAAGTGGACTATATCCCCATCGAGTGGGATGGCGTGAGCGGTTGGTACAGAGCTTGACCCAATAGCCCCGAGTTAGGATCTCGCTTCTGAGTGTAGTCTACGGCAGTGGCGTAGCGAGGTCGGGAGTTACCCTTCTTCTTCTTCTGCTTCGTTCTTAATTATTAGAGTGGAGGGGATCGAGATTTATCTGCCAGTGAGTTTGAACTCGAGACTTTGTTCAAATTTATCAACCATGCACTTTTTGCTGACTCGACCACGCCTCCAACACAATTAAGCGTTACGTGTCAACTGGTTATGCGCCATTGAGGCCATTGACTCCGATTTCAACCTGCTTTTCTTTTTGGATTTGCTTCCATAGCCTTTGTCCAACCAAGAACAAACTACAAGGCAGCAGTTGTTTAATTTTGGAGATGTCTCTCCTAGAAGAGTGGCTGTCCTCAGCTAACGAGCCTCATCTGCCCGAGGGTTCGAACTCGAGACTTTTCGGTTGAGCAACCATGAGCTATACCGACTCGACCACGCCAGTTACCCGATTCGGCACTTAATGGTGTCACTCCTCAGAGGCGTAGCGACCCTTCCCGGGGAAAAACATTCGATTTGCACCCCGACGGCAAACTTTCTATTTGCACCCCCCCCCCCCATCAAACCACCCTAAGTGGTGTCACCCGGTGCGGTCCGCACCCCCCGCCCACCCCCCTCGCTACGCCTCTGGTCTACAGGTTGTCACGATATAACCTTCCTCCTTTTGTCAAATTTAAAACGTACAGGCACCACTTGAATGGAGCCAGCTGCCGTACGAGATACTACTGAAAGTCTTCCGTTACCTTAGCAACAGCGACAAGTACCACGCCGCCCTCACCTGCAACTCTTGGCTCCGCCCACTCTCAGAGCCGTCCCTATGGCATTCCGGAAATTTTGTTTTCAACGCCAAGAGTGACGAAAAAGCCATCAAATTTGCGAAAATCAATGGGAAATCGTTACGTCACATTCAAACAGAGTGCTCGGGTACTTTAATTTGTTGTGATAAAAGTTGTTAGTCGTGAAAATATTTGTTTACAATTTCATTGATGTACTCCTATTTCTAACAGAGAATGCAGATGAAACAGCCGGTACAGCGAATTTGTACAGTTTTCTAAGTAACTTAATAAACTCACGCAACCATCAGCTCCTCACCTTTAAGCTTACTAATTTAGCACTTGCACAGAAAACTGTGGATGGAGAGTTTATGAGGGATGTATCTGACGTCACTAAACTCCTGAAAAAACTATTAAAGGGCCAACTGCAACTTCGTGAGTTGGATCTCAGAAACAGCCAACTCTCCGTTAAAGCAGGTCAGTAGTTTAAGTTGAAATGGCGACGCACGCTAGTAACAATGGGAAGTTTTTTATTGGTGGTCTACAAGTGGACCAAGTTTAGTTCAGTTGGTTGAGTAGTGGACCAAACTCAGTAATAGGGTTACGACCCTAATATATCCAGTCATCAGATTATATAGTGTTCCAATCCTAACCTATCTAGTTATCAGACAATGAAACGCGACGCATAAAGCGCGTATATATTTGCCAAAGACCCTTGCATATTTAGTGTGGAAATGATAAAAACAATTCGAACCCCTCCCCCCCCCCCCCCAGGGCTGAAAGTATTGAAGGCTGCAAGTAAAAACTGCGCAAAGACTATTCAAAAGCTGACCATCGACAGGCTTCTCGTGTACCAGGTGAACAATCATTACGTGGGAGATGATTTTGTCGCCGCCATCGCTTGTTTTAGTAACTTGGCAGGTACCCTTCAATTAACTGTTGTAATAATTAACTTGTATTTAGTTTGTTTGTTTGCTTTCTTGTTTGTGTTTCGGTTTGTGGCAAATCTTGTAAATAGATTTTGACCATAGTTTAATTGTTTAGTCCACATTAAATTCCTGATTTATTTGACTCCGATATAAATTTATCGAGATATATAGAGCTATATTTATTCACTAGTCAGCCCAACATACCACTTACCGCCATACTCTGTGACTTTACACCTGAAGCTACGACTACTTACATAACACCACACCTTGTGACTTTACACCTGAAGCTATGACTACTTACATAACACCATACCTTGTGACTTTACACCTGAAGCTATGACTACTTACATAACACCATACCTTGTGACTTTACACCTGAAGCTACGACTACTTACATAACACCACACCTTGTGACTTTACACCTGAAGCTACGACTACTTACATAACACCACACCTTTACACCTGTAGCTATGACTACTTACATAACACCATACCTTGTGACTTTACACCTGAAGCTACGACTACTTACATAACACCACACCTTGTGACTTTACACCTGAAGCTACGACTACTTACATAACACCACACCTTTACACCTGTAGCTATGACTACTTACATAACACCATACCTTGTGACTTTACACCTGAAGCTACGACTACTTACATAACACCACACCTTTACACCTGTAGCTATGACTACTTACATAACACCATACCTTGTGACTTAACACCTGAAGCTATGACTACTTACATAATGCCACACCTTTACACTTGAAGCTATGACTACTTACATAACACCACACCTTGTGACTTTCAGACCTGGAGCTGAGCTATGACTACCTGTGTGATGACCTGCTGCTCCGCCTGGCACAGACAACAAGAAGCCTGAAGGTGCTGACAGTCCGAGCCATAAATCACCCACCACTAGAAAGTAAAACGTATTATGGAGCGTGGAATAAGCTTTCAAAGGCTTGTCCAGAGCTGAGAGTAATATTTTTCATCAAGTCGATAAATGTAAGCAGTTTTTATATTTCGAACATGTGTACACACCTTACCATATCACGAGTTTTGATTAAGTAAAATGTACACAAACAAAAATGTATTAATAACAAAAGCAATGGTCGTTAAAGAAATATTTTTAATAGGTCTACCTTTACGCGACGGAAGCTATTCGTATATAAGGCAAACAAGCTATAGTTGATTACATTTAATTATACAGTTAATTTCGAGAATGCTAATCAAGTCACATATCAGAAAATCACATTTATATGGTTTAAGCTTGATTTAAAAAAAGTATATATATATAAATATATATATATATATATATATATATATATATATATATATATATATATATATATATATATATATATATATATATATATATATGTTACGGTCAAAGCCCGAAGTCGGCCAATGCTAGGATTGGCCGGCCAATCCGCGCATTGGCCAATATCGCCTCTCATAGGTCGGTCAAAGTCCGAAACTTTGCTTCATTTCGGCCTTTGGCCGGCCAATCCGCAGACTGGCCATTGTGGACCGGCCAAAGTCTGAAATAGCTCTTGATTTCGGCCTTTGGCCGGCCAGTCCCGGCCAGTCCGCGGACTGGCCATGGTGGACCGGCCAAAGTCTTAATTAGAAGATCATGAGCAGATTTTGGGTTTTTTTATGCCGGTAGGATCATGAAATTAAGTCTTTATTGATTATTAATTAAAGTAAATGACAGAAACATTCAAATTTTTTATTGTACTACAATCAATCAATATTATCATTTGTTACAACAAGTTGAACTTTTATGGCATTTAGAATTACACAGCAGCTTGTTATTTTTACACTTGCAGCGATTTGTTGTACACTTGGTTGTGCAATTGCAGCGAGTGTAGCCTTGGCCCCCAGTCAATGATTGTGAAGATGCGATGAAGATGCGATGGTTCGTAGTGATTTTTCCTCAGTGCCAACTGACGACAATAAGAGCAGTTTTTGTGAAGAATTGAAAACACACTTCTAGCATACAGTTGTTTTACAACACCATGTTCCGTTCCTAATTTGTAGAAACCGCCCTCGACGCTCATGACAACTGCAATCACGCTTTGGGGATCACCGTGACCTTTGTCAACATCTGGAACACGGATGCGTACATTGTCACCCACTTCACCATCTTTAAATTTTGTATTTGATGTTTTAAGCATCTTAGCACCTTGAGTTTTCAAGCCAGTATGAGCTGCTGACCTGTGTTACATGATGTCTTGTTTGTTGTGACACAATCTGCAGGTAATGTTCCCTCCGTACCCTTCGTCTGCTTCATTGGGTACTCCACAAATAGCATGGACATCTTTGCCACAGGATCCACAAGAATGAGCTGCACTACAATGTTTTTCACAAACTATACAGAATCTGTTGGCCACATTATTGTCACGTAACTGGTATGGACGTTCCGCCACGGCAGTAGATGTGTTAGCTGAGGATGTAGTTGCATTTATGGCAACCTCCATTTCTTGTTCAATGTTCTCAAGATCTTCCTCAGTAACTATTTTATTGAGAGCCTCGCTTGGTAGATTTGAAGTGCTAAGTCCCACTTTTGCTTTGCATCCAAACAAGGCTTCGTATGGTGATTGTTGGATTCCTTGATGAAAAGAACGATTTTTCATAAATTGAATGAATTTGAGACTCTCAGCCCAATGAGCTGATTCATTTGTTTGCATCCATGTCATCATCATGTTTTGAACATCTAGGAACGCGGAAAAGTCTTTTGAACGTTCCGTCTTGTTGCACGTGGTCGGTGACGCCGACTGTCTTTGATTTTGTTCTTTGATGATTGTCTCACCTCGTCATCATGGAGGAGGCTGTCACATACAGTTGTAGCCCATATATGGAAACTAACATGGATTTACATTTTTTTCTTTTGACAGCCATTTGCTATGTCTGTCTCTTGGTCTGACGGCCCTTTTGATCCATGTCGCATTGCATATAGAATGCTATACAAACAAGAGCTAAACAATACGTTACTCACAATGAAACCGCACCCAGAATAATTAAAACGCGATCTCAACTTAGTCTAGATACAACATTGGCCAAGACATCCCGGCCAATGCGCGCATTGGCCGGCCAATGTACAAAATACGCTGTCAAGTTTAAGTACTTCGGACTTTGGCCAGTACGTCCCGGCCAGTGCGCGCATTGGCCGGCCAATGTACGAAATCCGATCTTAGTTCTAAGTTCTTCGGGCTTTGGCCAAGAGAGCCGGCCAATCCGCGCATTGGCCGGCCAATCCGGGGTTTGGCCACACTTCGGGCTTTGACCGTAACATATATATATATATATATATATAGCCACAGCCTAGTCATTGAGATTGCATATATATCTCAATGTTATTTAGGAGTCGCACTTCGATGAATCAACAATTGAAATACTGACGCCCTTCATGCCGTTGTACCAACTCCACTGGGACGCGGGCAGATTAATTGCCATAGAAAACATTGACGCGTTCTTTGAGCATGTTCGTCTTCACTTCCAGGTTAGTTACATAAGAGGGGTGGGACAGTGCACGGGTAAACCCTGCTTTGACATGCGTGTCTGTGATAAATGTTTGATCTGTAGTGTTTATCTCACACACCGTTTGACTGGGTAGCCTGTAGCAGACAGATCTTAAAGCAAAACTAATGTTTGACTGGGTAGCGTGTAGCAGATATTTCTTAAAGCAAAACTCTAATGTTAGACTGGGTAGCCTGTAGGAGACAAATCTTAAAGCAAAAGTTGGATGTTAGCAAACAATTATATTAACAACATTGATTTATTCAACAAATGTGTGTGTATGTTTTACAGAACACCATACACCATCTGGAACTTCAAACTGGTGTCCGTCTAGATACGGAAAGCTTTGAAAAGTTGTTTAAAAGGTATGTTAACCATGACAGTTGTACGTTTTCTATATGTGTAAGCTTTTATTTCAGCTATACGCTATTTCTAAAGACCACCAACCTAGTAGAAAATATCGTAATGTCTCTTTCCTCCCGCCTAGAGAAGTACGTTTGCTGTATCTTTAAGCCATTTACTTGTATGCAAAATCTACTTTATCTGTTTGTCCACAGTTTACAGCCGTGCAAACATCTGGAAACCTTGTCGCTAGGTTTGACCTTCGACATGAGCGGTGACGTGGAGATGTACAATCTGACCATCAGAGATGTCACGGCTCTGTACCCAGTGTCATGTGACGTCACACTGAACGGTCAAATAGTGAATTAAAACTTATCGTTGTGGTACGTCTGTACAGGACACCATGTTCTGGGTGATGTACAGTGCACCCTTTATTGTACAGTGCATCATGTGCTGGGTGATGTACAGTGCACCCTTTGTTGTACAGTGCACCATGTTCTGGGTGATGTACAGTGCACCCTTTGTTGTACAGTGCACCATGTTCTGGGTGATGTGCAGTGCACCCTTTGTTGTACAGTGCATCATGTGCTGGGTGATGTGCAGTGCACCCTTTGTTGTACAGTGCATCATGTGCTGGGTGATGTGCAGTGCACCCTTTGTTGTACAGTGCATCATGTGCTGGGTGATGTACAGTGCACCCTTTGTTGTACAGTGCATCATGTGCTGGGTGATGTACAGTGCACCCTTTGTTGTACAGTGCATCATGTGCTGGGTGATGTGCAGTGCACCCTTTGTTGTACAGTGCATAATGTGCTGAGTGCTATGCAGTGCACTATATTTGACGGTTAACGAATATCTTTCATTATTAAAGCTGTGTTGTTAAAATTAATATCTGAATTTATTTCTTTTTTTAAACACTTGCAGTTTCACGATTTATAATCAAAACGGTTATTTCAACAAAAGCCGTGAAAATTGTGTCTATCTTACAAACATACTCAAACAAGTACACATATTTTATTTGAATTTAACAAAACAATTTCGACTTTAGGAAACGTATTCTTTTTTTAATAGAACATGTCAGTTTCAGGGTTTAGAAAAACAGTTAAGCGTTTACTTTTATTTCTCAAGTACTTAGAATTTGAAAACGAGTTAAATGGGTTTTTTTTTCATTGACATCTACGTGGTGACGAAAATCATCATTGCTGTCACACATTTTAAAAAAAAAAGTTTTTTTGTCAATTTTCCATTCTTAGCGGTCGTAAAAATAATAATTAAACTTGAAACGAATTCAAAAATTTAATGTTTAAAAATTGGGTAATGTAAAAGTTTCAAAACCAGTAAAATGAATAAAAATATATTTTTTATGTTTAATTAAAGCTACATTTCTATTTATTTTCATTTTCACTTTCTAAAGCCAAACATTGATTGGCTGTACAGAGAATCCGTGAACGATCTCTGAAAAGACTTCATTGTACTCAACATTTTACGATAAATATTTTTTTAATAAAATTATACTTTAATAAACTACATTGTACTTAACATTTTACGATAAATATTTTTTAAATAAAATTATACTTTAATAACCTACGTGGCCTGGTCATGCCAAGTTAATTTATATTTTTAGTGACAAAACACTTTGCTTCAATCTTTAAAAATTGAGAAGTTAAAGCAGCGAAATCACGAATCGCAAATGTTGAGGGCAAACAAGGTCCTATCCTAAAAGCTCGGCAATTTGTGGACAGCTTTGGGGGGGGGGGGCAGCTTGGGGGGGGGGGGGTGGTTTGGGGACATTTTGGGGACAGCTTGGGGACAGCTTAGGGACATCTTGGGGACATCTTGGGGACAGGAGGAGTTTGGGAACAGCTTAGGGACGTCTTGGGGACAGCTTGTGGACAGCTTGTGGACGGCTTGGGGCTATCGCTCAATTGTACAAAGTCAATGGTCAATAAAAAAAATAGACTTCCGTCGGACAGATATATCTAGACAGTAATGAGTAAAAGACGTGTATGACCTAAATCACAACAAATGTGATATATCACACGAGCCGACCCGCGGTGTATCATACGCCGCTATTTAGTTGTTGTTTTTTTTCTACTTTTCAGTAATTCATAATTTGTGAATTCGACAGTACCAATGCTGCCACTGAAAATATTTGCTTTACACTAACCCCCCCCCCCCCCCCGTGTAAGCAGCCTCCTCTTAGGTACCTCCTCTAAGTTTATAATCGTTTCAAACTGAATTATCTGCCCCTAATAGCCGTCACCAAACCCAGCTCTACGATTGTAAAATATAAACATTTATTTAGCGTGAACCACAGCTCAACAGACCATGTGAGGGGGGTGGGGGGGGGTGGTAGCGACAGAGAGGAAGAGAGGGGATTGCAAGGCGCGTTTGCAGCTTGTTTTCTAACGGCTCCCAGAAGAGAATTATATATACGAGCCGGCCCGCAGCATAACATACGCCGCTATTTAGTTGTTTCTAATTTTCAATAATTCATAATTTGTGAATTCGACAGTACCAACGCTGACACTGAAAATATTTCTTTAAAACACTATAAGTAGCTCGTTAAGGACCATAACCCCCCCCCCCTTCCCTCCCCCCCCTCCTCCCCCCCTACGTTTAAAATCGTTGGCTCTGCTTGTAAACATTTAGAGTGAACACAGCTCACTAAAATCATGTAGGGGTGGGGAGGTAGGGGGAGCGTTTGCAGCTTGTTTTATAACGGCTCGAAGAAGAGAATTATATATATATAGATAGATACGCATACATCCCCGCATATATAGGGCTACATAACACGGGACAACTCCCTTCATCGCGATTCCTTTCAGACAACTATTTAACTAAAAACAAAAATAGACACGAAAAGTCTTTGTAATCATATTAAATTTTTAAAAAAAATAAAATATGGCAAGTGATAAAAGTATAGCTACATTTATAAAAATTTAATCTGTTTGGGATTTGGGAACCATTGATTACACTAATTTTTATATTTTTGTATCAAATAAAAACCGTTAAAAAGCCGTTTAGAATTATTATTTTATCAATTTATATATTTTCAAAAACTGCCCTTAACCTCTCCTTGAAGTATACCGGAATGGCCAGGGAGAATAAAACATTAGAAGTCTGAACAATTGTTCTCCATGATAAAAATACACAATAGTGATTTATGGAGTATACCGTACTATTTTATTTATATCAAATAATATAACATCCTCAATCACCACAACACCCTGACTCTACTAATCCAAATTAAAAATAAAAGTGTTAGCTGAATTACTATTTTATTACTAACAATTATGTCTTTGACTATTTCTAGCCTTAATAATACTGGAAGTAATTTTGTACTCATTGCACTAACGTTTTAAAATATGAAATTTTGGTTGAAAAATATTATTTCTGGCAACACAAATTTTGAACAATTTGGAAACAAATGATCCTGCTTTAAACGTCATCAATGTGTGTGTAGCATATTTCATGTAAATATGGCGGTAGTTTAGATCAAGGTTTTTTAGTTGTTTAAAGCTCATAATTTTAACGTTATTAAATATATATCTGGCTAATATTTTGCGTGAAAAGCTGAATAATGTCAGAAGGGGCGAACAAACGCCTGAAGCGTGTGACGGTAGATCTAGTCGACTGTGAGGGGAACGTCGGTAAGCGGGGCCTGAAATTTGCAGATCAGCGATTGGTAGGTTGTCTCTTTCTCAATACAGATCATGCTACATTTATGTTTATCAATACAGATCATGCTACATCTATGTTTATCTACACAGATCATGCTACATTTATGTTTATCTATAATATCATGCTACATCTATGTTAATCTATACAGATCATGCTACATCTATGTTTATCTATACAGATCATGCTACATTTATGTTTATCAATAAAGATCATGCTACATCTATGTTTATCTACACAGATCATGCTACATCTATGTTTATCTATACAGATCATGCTACATCTATGTTTATCTACACAGATCATGCTACATCTATGTTTATCTATAATATTATGCTACATTTATGTTTATCTATACAGATCATGCTACATTTATGTTTATCTATACAGATCATGCTGCATTTATGTTTATCAATACAGATCATGCTACATCTATGTTTATCAATACAGATCTTGCTACATCTATGTTTATCTATACAGATCATGCTACATCTATGTTTATCTATACAGATCATGCTACATCTATGTTTATCTATAATATCATGCTACATCTATGTTTATCAATACAGATCATGCTACATCTATTTTTATCTATACAGATCATGCTACATCTATGTTTATCTACACAGATCATGCTACATTTATGTTATCCATTGAAGTACGACTATGTACCCATCGAGTGGCGTGGTCAGTTGGCAGAGAGCTGGACCAAGTAGTATCGAGTTCAGATCTCGGTTCGGCTGGGAGTCACTGAGTCCACCCAGCTCTGATGGGTACCTGACTCACTGAGTCCACCCAGCCCTGATGGGTATCTGACTCACTGAGTCCACCCAGCTCTGATGGGTACCTGACTCACTGAGTCCACCCAGCTCTGATGGGTACCTGACTCACTGAGTCCACCCAGCTCTGATGGGTACCTGACTCACTGAGTCCACCCAGCTCTAATGTGTACCTGACTCACTGAGTCCACCCAGCTCTGATGGGTACCTGACTCACTGAGTCCACATAGCTCTGATGTGTACCTGACTCACTGAGTCCTCCCAGCTCTGATGGGTACCTGACTCACTGAGTCCACCCAGCTCTGATGGGTACCTGACTCACTGAGTCCACATAGCTCTGATGTGTACCTGACTCACTGAGTCCTCCCAGCTCTGATGGGTACCTGACTCACTGAGTCCACCCAGCTCTGATGGGTACCTGACTCACTGAGTCCACCCAGCTCTGATGGGTACCTGACTCACTGAGTCCACCCAGCCCTGATGGGTACCTGACTCACTGAGTTCACCCAGCCCTGATGGGTACCTGACTCACTGAGTCCACCCAGCTCTGATGGGTACCTGATTCACTGAGTCCACCCAGCTCTGATGGGTACCTGATTCACTGAGTCCACCCAGCTCTGATGGGCACCTGACTCACTGAGTCCACCCAGCTCTGATGGGTACCTGACTCACTGAGTCCACCCAGCTCTGATGGGTACCTGAATCACGTTATAAACATACTGTTGATCATACTATCCCTACATAAGGCAAAGTAAAAAAAAACATTAACTCTACTTCATCTGCCCTATGGGTCGTTAAGCCCGAAAGAAGATTTGTATATACTATATAGCTAATAGGCATTAAACCTTCAGTATTTTGTTCATTCTAAAACTTGCAGGCAGTAACTGACCTCATAGAGACCTCGACGGCTAACCCAAAAATTATGAACTCAAATATCACTAAGGACAGGAGTCTGGGTGAGGTTTCTGAGTCATTCCAGTTCTGATGGACATTTGACTCACGTTCGGGAAAGTAAAGACGACCGGGAACATGCCGATGTCAAGAGATATTAGTCCTACTTCATTTTACCTATGTTTCTTTTGTCCCGAGATATGAAGTTTCTATATCAAAGATGGTACTAAAAATATTAGACAACCTAACCCTCTACATTTTCTTCACCCTGAAACTTGCAGGCACCACCTGACTGGAGTCAGCTGCCGTACGAGATTCTGCTGCAAGTCTTCCGTTACCTGAACGACAACAGCGACAAGTACCACGCCGCCCTCACCTGCAAGTCTTGGCTCCGCCCACTCTCAGAGCCTTCCCTGTGGCAGTCCGGAGATTTTGTTTTCAATGCAAAAAGTCGGACAAGAGCCGTCAGATTTGTGAGAATCGCTGGCCAATCATTACGTCACTTTAGAGCTGATTACCCAGGTAAAGATAATTCACGTTGGTATTAAAATTAAAAAAGTCGAAAGTCCTGCGCATGAATTGCTTTATATTATTTCCTCAAGAACAAATATGTTTGGTTTGTTCCTCTTCACAGAGCCGAAAGGCTTGATATATTGTAACGAAGAGGTGTATCAGTTTCTGGCTAACTTAATCAACTCACGCAACCAACGACTAGTGACCTTTAAGATGACCAACTTGCAATATTTGGATAATTGTAATGTATCCGACGTGAAGTCTACGAGTATAATCTGTAATCTCCTGACTAATCTACTGGGCCAACAACATCAGCTGCGTGTATTGGATCTCAGCAACAGCCCGATGTCTTTCAAACAAGGTATGTCATCTTTGTCTGATGTTTATTTAACATGGTCAGTCATCTTTGTTTGATGTCTATTTAACATGGTCAGTCATCTTTGTCTGATGTCTATTTAACATGTTCAGTCATCTTTGTTTGATGTCTATTTAACATGGTCAGTCATCTTTGTCTGATGTCTATTTAACATGGTCAGTCATCTTTGTCTGATGTCTATTTAACATGGTCAGTCATCTTTGTCTGATGTCTATTTAACATGGTCAGTCATCTTTGTCTGATGTCTATTTAACATGGTCAGTCATCTTTGTCTGATGTCTATTTAACATGGTCAGTCATCTTTGTCTGATGTCTATTTAACATGGTCAGTCATCTTTGTCTGATGTCTATTTAACATGGTCAGTCATCTTTGTCTGATGTCTATTTAACATGGTCAGTCATCTTTGTCTGATGTCTATTTAACATGGTCAGTCATCTTTGTCTGATGTCTATTTAACATGGTCAGTCATCTTTGTCTGATGTCTATTTAACATGGTCAGTCATCTTTGTCTGATGTCTATTTAACATGGTCAGTCATCTTTGTCTGATGTCTATTTAACATTGTCAGTTATCTTTGTCTGATGTCTATTTAACATGGTCAGTCATCTTTGTCTGATGTCTATTTAACATTGTCAGTTATCTTTGTCTGATGTCTATTTAACATGGTCAGTCATCTTTGTCTGATGTCTATTTAACATGGTCAGTCATCTTTGTCTGATGTTTATTTAACATGGTCAGTCATCTTTGTCTGATGTCTATTTAACATGGTCAGTCATCTTTGTCTGATGTCTATTTAACATGGCCAGTCATCCTTGTCTGATGTCTATTTAACATGGTCAGTCATCTTTGTCTGATGTCTATTTAACATGGTCAGTCATCTTTGTCTGATGTCTATTTAACATGGTCAGTCATCTTTGTCTGATGTCTATTTAACATGGCCAGTCATCCTTGTCTGATGTCTATTTAACATGGTCAGTCATCTTTGTCTGATGTCTATTTAACATGGTCAGTCATCTTTGTCTGATGTCTATTTAACATGGTCAGTCATCTTTGTCTGATGTCTATTTAACATGGTCAGTCATCTTTGTCTGATGTCTATTTAACATGGTCAGTCATCTTTGTCTGATGTCTATTTAACATGGTCAGTCATCTTTGTCTGATGTCTATTTAACATTGTCAGTCATCTTTGTCTGATGTCTATTTAACATGGTCAGTCATCTTTGTCTGATGTCTATTTAACATTGTCAGTCATCTTTGTCTGATGTCTATTTAACATGGTCAGTCATCTTTGTCTGATGTCTATTTAACATTGTCAGTCATCTTTGTCTGATGTCTATTTAACATGGTCAGTCATCTTTGTCTGATGTCTATTTAACATGGTCAGTCATCTTTGTCTGATGTCTATTTAACATTGTCAGTCATCTTTGTCTGATGTCTATTTAACATTGTCAGTCATCTTTGTCTGATGTCTATTTAACATGGTCAGTCATCTTTGTCTGATGTCTATTTAACATGGTCAGTCATCTTTGTCTGATGTCTATTTAACATGGTCAGTCATCTTTGTCTGATGTCTATTTAACATGGTCAGTCATCTTTGTCTGATGTCTATTTAACATGGTCAGTCATCTTTGTCTGATGTCTATTTAACATGGTCAGTCATCTTTGTCTGATGTTTATTTAACATGGTCAGTCATCTTTGTCTGATGTCTATTTAACATGGTCAGTCATCTTTGTCTGATGTTTATGAAGGCTCTACTCTGGCATATATGGTCTTATCAAACATATATGGTGTTATTAAAAACATGTATGATCTAATTAAACACATATATGGTCTTATTAAAAACATGTTTAGTCTTATTAAACACATGTATGGTCTTTTTAAACACATATATTGTCTTATTCAACACATGTATGATCTAATTAAACACACGTATGTCCTAGTCCTAACTTACCCGATACTATAAACGACTCTAACACCCCCAGGGTTAGAGCTATTGAAGGCTGTCACCACCAACTGTAGCAGCACAGTCCACACGCTTGTGCTAAATAAATTCTTCCAGAGTAAGTTAACCTGCCCTACAGCTTTGTCCAAATTCGTCAACTCTGTCTGCAGCTTCAAAAACTTGTCAGGTACGTTCTCTACGGTGTCCAGTACTTGTTGTCCTATTTTGTCTCGCTTATTTTAGCCAATAATTTGGTTAATCCCTGTGAAAATGTTAAAATAACTATGTAGGTAAATTAACCTGACGAAAAATAGGAAGGATGAATTAGAGCTTCTCTTTTTTGCGACCCCAGCATATGAAGAGATAGCACAATACACAACTGCTCTTATTTTCACTTACGTGAGTTAGGTACCCATCATAGCTGGGTAGACTCAGGTAACCATCAGAGCTGGGTAGACTCAGGTACCCATTAGAGCTGGGTAGACTCAGGTACCCATCAGCCTGGGTGGACTAGAGCCAGGTACCCATCAGAGCTGGGTAGACTCAGGTACACATCAGAACTGGGTAGACTCAGGTACCCATCAGAACTGAGTGGACACAGGTACCCATCAGAACGGAGTGGACACAGGTACCCATTAGAGCTGAATGGCCTAAGGTACCCATCAGAGCTAGGTAGATTCCGCGCACTAGCTTAAGTTCAGTATGATCATCCAAAGCTAATAAGATTTTTTTTACGTCTTTGTATTTAAAACAGATGATCTTAGCTTTTTTCATCCAGCTCGTAATGTTTTTTTTTACTTTCTCCTGTACGAAGTATAGAGGAAGTATTGTAATCGCGTAAAAAAATCAAAATCGTGATTTTCACAAAACGTTCTGTATCAACTTATCTGCGATTTCCGGTAACCGGAAGTAGAACTAGTTCAACTTTTGATTTTTCAAAAGCCTTTAACTTGAATGCTATTTCTTATAGTTAGAGGAAATTTCACATATAAGTAAAATATCTAATTCTTTGCGTTTTGTCAAATTTTAAGTAATTTCCGGTAATCGGAAAGTAGTACTTTACGATGTTTCCGATTTCTCAACCAAAAAATAAATTTATAAAGTGATTATGATCCGCACTATTATATACGCATTGTTTGCTGTTCTCTTGATGCGATATTCTTTTCTACGAGATTCTATTCTATTTTAAAAAGTTTGTAAAAAAAAAAATGATTAAAAAGCATATCTAAATCCCCGGTTGCCATCCCCCGTACTTTTATGTAAGAATATGTAGAAAGTTTAGTGGAGACGACTCCCGCTTAATTTTACACGCAACGTTTCAATTCTAATTTATTTAGTGGTCTATTATTTTTTTTATTTACACGCAACGTTTCAACACGACCCATAACGTAACATAATATTCTTGCCCATGTGACTTTCAGACCTGGAGCTGAGCTACGACCACCTGTGTGATGATCTGCTGCTAAATCTGGCCAAGAACTCACCAAACCTGAAAGTGATCACACTTCGAGCGGATGGCGATTCCTCGGCTGATAAAATTACCTGTGCAGCATGGCAGCAGCTGACAGCAGCGTGTCCAGAGCTCCAAGCTGTTGTGTCGATCAACAAACCGAAACAGGTGGGTAGTTTGTATGCTTAAAACACACACACACATACATACACAAACATACATACATATATATATATATATATATATATATATATATATATATATATATATATATATATATATATATATATATATATATATATATATAAGTGTGCTTGTATAACATTTTTTTACAAAAAAATCGTCGAGGTCTACAGAAAAGAAAATACACATTACATTTATTATGATAGTGTAGTATAATTTATGACGTCGTGGTTTGGAGGTACTGTACTGTACCGTACTGTACTGTACTGTACTGTACTGTACTGTACTGTACTGTACTGTACTGTACTATACTGTACTGTACTGTACTGTACTGTACTGTACTGTACTGTACTGTACTGTACCGTACCGTACCGTACCGTACCGTACCGTACCGTACTGCACTGTACTGTACTGTACTGTACTGTACTGTACTAATACACATATAGTGACGTACCTTTAATATGTTTTTCTAAAGGCATTTTTTGACCAAGGACCAAGTGAAATCCTCACACTCTCCATGCCATTATACAAAGTCAGCTGGGACGCTGGTCTCATCGCCATTCAAAACATAGAACAGTTCTTTCAGCGGGTATCACGTGACTTTCAGGTGAGTCTGAACCAAATGCCAGGGCCAGTACAAGACATATACACAAAGTTTGACAAGTGTCTTGCAACTCTAGCTTTGTTACACATTTCACTTTAGAATTGGAAACTAATGTTTGAACAGAATTGCTGTATGATAGGTGGGTGAAAATTGAGTTATGGGATTTGATCTAAAACCCAATTTTTAAAATATTACTAATGAAAAGAAAGCTAATTGAATCAAGTCTCAAGTGCTAATATGTTTTTTATTTTGATAGAACACTTTACACCATGTAGAGCTAATATATTTTTTATTTTGATAGAACACCTTACACCATATAGAGCTAAAAACTGGTGTACGGCTGGACAAGATATGCTTTGAGCTGTTGTTTAAAAGGTGGGTTATCACTGCTTGGTGTGCTAGTTGTGTGCTTATATCAGTTGATATTGTATATGCTAGTTGTGTGCTTATATCAGTTCACATTGTATGTGCTAGTTGTGTGCTTATATCAGTTCACATTGTATATGCTAGTTGTGTGCTCATTTAAAATTGTGTGCGCATACTGAGAGGTAGAGCTGTGTTTAACATTTCTTAATGTAGCATTAGCTACTGAGGAAATCAAGCAACTGGAGGATTTTAAAGCGAGCACTGTGTAAAGACATCTGCCAACCTCTAATATCACAATTGTAACAGTAGTTAACATGACACGATAACAAACAATGTTTTACCACATTTTCAGCCCCCCCCCCCAGCAATCCCATAGTAAAAAAAAGTAAATGTGTAAATTTGACATTCAAGACTTTAATTTAGGTGCATGACATCAACTGTACATAGCTCAACTGTGTCCTATATTGCAAATAATGTATTTAATCAACACTTTGTACGATCTAGTAGTGTTGGGATAATTAACAAAGCACTATTGTGCTGTAAATACATTGTAGCCGAACTATATGGAATGTGTATATTGATATTTGTGTATCCAGAGTTATACACGTATGTGTGTAGCTTACACGTATGTAGTATACACGTATGTAGCATACAATTATGTACCATAAACTATGTAGCATACACGTATGTGCCATCCCGCCTAATGTCTTCCCACAGTTTCCAGACTTGCAGGCACCTGGACTCCGTGTCTGTAGATGTCACCTGTGACAGGAGAAGTGACCAGGACGATTACATGTTCGTCATCACAGATGTCATGACGCGATGTCCAGTGTCGTATGATGTCATACTGAACGGTCACAAAGTCAATGGCAGTCCTTCAGTCTGACACTGATGGTGTTTGCTGTACTGTGCTCTATGTTGAATGGTTTACCATTGAGTTTAGATTTTGTTATTAAAACAGTGTTGTACAAATTATATTTTGGTCCTTTATGTTTTTCTTAAAAGATTTAATTAAACGACTTTCAATTTTAAAGTTGTAACATAAAACACACGCATCAACACAGAGTGTCTTCTTGTTTAAGAATAAATATGTGACTGCTTGAATTGAATGACTAAAATTAGAGTGAGGTCTGAGTTATAATTTAAGCAAGATGCTTCAACTAAAGGTCAAGTGTTTGTAGTACCTAGGAAAATACAGTTAAATGTCTACACATAGAAGCATTCACTTAAAGTCACTGAAATAATAACTTGTGTTATCACGTTACATTTTACAACACATAAAGTTAAATGACACCAACGAGAGTAGGTTAAAAAGTTTCGTTGAATGTTACAAAAATCGGGTTCGATGCTATTAAAATAAAAGTAATTATTAAAATATTTGGTATTTTTCGGACTTCATTATTTCATGTAAACGAAAACAAAGACATTCTCGTGTTAAGTAGACATGCGTAAATTAGAATGAAAAATCAAGCATGACCAGTAAAATTCTTTTAAAAATATTAACATTAGCAATAACAGATGCGGTAATATAAACAACCCGAGAGTATTAATGTTTGATACCAATATCATTTAAAATATTGCCAAATTTAACATGGTCATTCATTTGTTTAGTGGAACCTAGTGTCAAAGTAAACTTTCGTTCACACTCTGCATTTGAAACTTTAATATTATTAATTCTAAAAGTATTTAATTTCTGAATTTGTTTCAGTTTTAATTAAGATAATATTTTTTTTTAAAATTAATTGAACAGTAAGAAAAAAACAACACAATTCAGGACTCTTCTACGGATCTAACAAGATTTTAAATATGTACACTAAGATAAGAAAATAATTGTTTTGATATATAAAATGCACCTATACGTGAATAATTTTAATCGTGAAGAAAAGCGGGGGTCACTTATAAAATTTTAATTATTAATTTTACATAATTTAGAGACCCATGCGTTTTTGTAAGACTATTGGCTTTATTTAATTTTTTAAAATTTATACATATAATTGTATAAAAAAAACATGGATCAAATTCGTAAGAAAGTAACAAAAGAAACCATAACTATGTTTTATTATTTAAATATAGGTGTAAATAAACCCCGAATAAATTGTTAAAATATTAAAATTAATCTGTTAGATTTCTACACGTTTTTAATTGTTCCATGAGATAAACGTCATCAAATTATGTGTAACCCATCTTTTCAAACTTCCTGTAAACAATACGGTGTTTGCTTAGATTTTAGAGTAATGTAATATAACTTAAAAACTCTATTTAACCAGATATTTGTATTTAATTTTGAGATATTCCTATCTCTATATTTATATTAAAGTTTGAACCCTAATTGCCTTAGCCCGTGTAACCATGTCAACGTTTAGTAGCAAAAACCATAAGCGATCTGCTGGAGATTTAGTGGACCACATTAGCAAAAAGGTCAAAGTTGACACATCTGTTTCAGCGCCGAATTCGGTATGTTTGTATTTGTAGAACTGTGTACATGCATATATTCAGATGTTAATGTTTAGTCCATCTAAACATTCATTTGCCAAGTGTTTAATCTATCTTTTACTAACCATTCAGGTGCTAAATGTTTGGTCCATCTAACCAATGACGTGCGTATGTTTAGTCCATCTAACCCAAGAGGTGCTAAATATTTAGTCCATCTAAGCATTCAGGTGCCAAATGTTTAGTAGAGCTAAACATTCAGGTTCTAAATCTTTGGTCTATCTATTACTAACCATTCAGGTGCTAAATATTAAGTCCCTGTACCATTGCCGTATTGCTTACACCAAGCATTATGTCATTTAAACTTTTCTATTATAGCTCATATCAAATCTATGTTTACTCATTGAGGTAAAACATTTTGTAATTCTAACTTTTAAAAGTTGACTATGTACCCATCGAGTAGGACGGCGGTTGGTCGAGAGCTTGACCCAATAGTCTCGAGTTCCTATCTCGTTGCGGACTGAAGACTGCAAGAAGTGAAAGCACCTACCCAGCTCTGATGGTACTTAATTCACGTTAGGGAAAGTAAAGGCGGATGGGCCGAGGTCAAGAGATATTAGTCCTACTTATTTTCCCTATGTATCTTTACTAATTTCACTAGTGAAATTAAATAATTGATATTCATGCATTGTCATCAATTAATTTTTAGGCACGAGATATGACGTTTCTAAATGAAGGTACTAAATGTATAAACATTCTTAACTTCATCATTAGGGCTTTTAAGTAGGTCATCAATCAGCTCTACGACTCAATAAAACCTGGATGAGCCATAGAACTGGTTGGTGACATACTTAACAGCCCTATTTGTTAAACTTAAAACTTGCAGGCGGCCCTTGCTGACTGGAGCCAGCTGCCGTACGAGATTCTGCTGCAAGTCTTCCGTTACCTGAACGACAACAGCGACAAGTACCACGCTGCCCTCACGTGCAAGTCCTGGCTCCGACCACTCTCAGAGCCTTCCCTGTGGAAGTCCGGAGATTTTGTTTTCAATGCAAAAAGTGGGACAAGAGCCATCCGATTTGTGAGAATCGCTGGCCAATCGTTACGTCACGTTAAAGCTGATTACCCAGGTGAGATAATTCATGTTAGGATTTATATTTTAATAAAATAAATATAGAAAACTTTATTATAACAAGCTTAAAAAATAATTCTCTTTAGACTTAGCTATCTATTGTGCAGATGAAAGAGAGTTCATATGTTTCTTGACCTCGGCACATGAATGAATAGTGTGGTCAGCAATTTGCTCAGTCGCCTTTACTTTCCGTAACATAAGTTAGATATCTATCAGAGCTGGGTGGACTCAAGGACATTTTACTTACTTAGACCAGGATTTGAACTCGAGACTTTCAGGTTAGTAGCCTAGTAAGTACTACTTAACCGATTTCCGATTTCTCCATAAAAGCACAAAGGTTTATTTAACTATCTGGTGCATGTCATGGGCGGAATGTTACGAGCCAAATTTGGAACACTTTTACAGGACTGATTAATTTCAAACTTTTCACGTAGGTTTAGACTCGAACACAAAGTTTATTGATATAACCTGTCACTTAATTAAATGGTTAATTAACTTTTAAAAATGTGTTCAATTGTTGCGCAATTCCTTTTTCAACGCGGTTATTTTCTATTTAAAAAATAAAAATTTTAAATTTGATTTTATAAACATGTCTATAGCCCGATTGGAATCCAGTTCCCATACCTGTTAGTGTTATATACGAACATTCGAGAAAGTTTAGGGTAGATCACTACCGTTAATTAGAATATAGAAATTTTTAAAATAAATTGTCTTTCTAATAAAATTAAATAATTAATATTCATGCATTGTCATCAATGAAGAGCGTATCGGAAATATTCAACAAAATCGCTGTATATAAGTGGGTCAAAATTAAGTTACAAGATTTGCCACAAACCCACAAACAAACAAACGGACATTTTGGCCTAAATAAAAGCTTGTAAAGAGCATAAAACTTCTTGCACATGAGTGGCAATATTTTCTCTCTTGAAGAACGAATATGTTTGCTTTGTTGTTTACAGAGTCGAAAGACAAGGTGTATTGCAACGAGGAGTTGTACCAGTTTCTGGCCAACTTAATCAACTCACGCAACCAGCGACTAGTGACCTTTAGGTTGACCAACTTGCAATATTTGAAGAACTTGGAGTATTCAGGGGTGAGGAAAACAGATGAAATCATCGATCTCCTGAAAAAGTTACTTAATCAACAACGACAGCTGCGTGTGTTGGATCTTAGTAACAGCAAGGTGCCCTATAAGACAGGTCAGCCATCTTTGTCTGATGTCTGTCCAACATGGTCAGCCATCTTTGTCTGAATCTATCCAACATGGTCAGCCATCTTTGTCTGAATCTATCCAACATGGTCAGCCATTTTTGTCTGAATCTATCCAACATGGTCAGCCATTTTTGTCTGAATCTATCCAACATGATCAGCCATTTTTGTCTGAATCTATCCAACATGGTCAGCCATTTTTGTCTGAATCTATCCAACATGGTCAGCCATTTTTGTCTGAATCTATCCAACATGGTCAGCCATTTTTGTCTGAATCTATCCAACAGGGTCAGCCATTTTTGTCTGAATCTATCAAACATGGTCAGCCATTTTTGTCTGAATATATCCAACAGGGTCAGCCATTTTTGTCTGAATCTATCCAACAGGGTCAGCCATTTTTGTCTGAATCTATCCAACAGGGTCAGCCATTTTTGTCTGAATCTATCCAACATGGTCAGCCATTTTTGTCTGAATCTATCCAACATGGTCAGCCATTTTTGTCTGAATCTATCCAACATGGTCAGCCATTTTTGTCTGAATCTATCCAACATGGTCAGCCATTTTTGTCTAACGTTAACCACCATCGTCTGTCATGTATGGTTTTATTAAGCGCATGTATGTGTCAAACACACACATATACTAACCCTAACATACAACATACTATAAAGAACTTAACATCCTACAGGAATGAAGCTGTTGGTAACCTACCACTGTCCATACACAGTCCATACTCTTGTGATCAATAAGCTCTTCCAGAATTATTCAAATAGCCGTCAATATATACCAGATTTCGTCACCACTGTCTGTAGTTTCAAAAACTTGTCAGGTACGTTATTTATTGTTTCCAATTAGTCTAGGCTTGATTTATTTCATGTTGTGATCTATATTCACTACGTTGTAACTCTCAAATATGGAGCTATGTTTACTTTCATAGCGCCATACATTGTAACTTTACACCTGAAGCTATGAATACTTACATCACACCCCACCTTGTAACTTTACACCTAAAGCTATGACTACTTACATAACACCACACTTTTACACCTGAAGCTATGACTACTTACATAACACCATACCTTGTGACTTTACACCTAAAGCTATGCCTACTTACATAACACCATACCTTGTAACTTTACACCTAAAGCTATGACTACTTACATAACACCACACCTTTACACCTGAAGCTATGACTACTTACATAACGCCACACCTTTACACCTGAAGCTATGAATACTTACATAACGCCATACATGTAACTTTACACCTGTAACTATGACTACATAACACCACACCTTATGACTTACAGACCTAGAGTTGAGCTATGGCTACCTGTGTGACGACCTACTGCTCCACCTGGCCAGGACATCAACCAGCCTGAAGGTGATGACCATTCGAGCAGACGGCTACACCAGCGACCTTGGTCGAACAACCGCTGCAGCATGGAGGAAGCTAACAGCAGCATGTCGTGAGCTGAGAGCAATGTTGTTCATCAAACCCAAATCTGTGAGCAGCTTACAATAAACTATGCGACATATCTTTAGGTTAAGAGGCTTTTATAAGCACCAAATAAACAAGGAAATAAACATCAGTTTATTATAGATGTAATTATAACACCTGTGCTGTTGTAGGCATGATTCGTGCTATTTACCCCACACTAACTTACTTCATATAATCCCAGCATTCAATAAAGACTGCCTTCACAAAACCCAAATTTCAACTACACGCTGCCTTCATATAATACCAGCATTCAACTACACACTAACTGCCTTCCCTTACCCCCAGCATTCAACTACACACTAACTGCATATCATTCCTGCATTCAATTACATACTAACTGCATTCATATAATGCATACATTCAATTACATACAAACTTCCTTTAAAATTCCTGCATTTAATACACACTGACTGCTATGTATACATAAGTTGTTCTTTTGGCAGAGATCAGTAGAATAATGATAGTGTCATCTTAATACTAACAAAACAGGTAGTGCTAGTATGCTCATACAAAGTTATCCATGGTCTCGTCAGCACACTATTTATATAACTACGTGCCTACTCGGAAAAAACTAATTCCCCCCCCCCCCCCAGCGCTAGTCTGGCCGGCAAAAGATGCAAAACGCAATGATCTTGTTAACTACGCGAAAGGCTCAAATTAAATATTGTTAATAGCGGCGCAATGGGCTCACATTTTTTTAGCGCAATTTCCATTCTGGAGAATTGCGTTTATTAACCCGTCATTTCTGGATGGATGGATGGATGAATGTATGGATGTGTGTCCGCAGCTTTAAGTCGTATCTCCTCCTCAACGAAGCAATATCGATGACTAGTTACAAAAACAATTATGTTAAGCAAGTTACGAGGATGAACATAGGCCATAAAAATTCCGGTATTCTTTCATGGATTTCCCAGAAAAGCCAAAAAAAAACCTCGAAAAAATGCAGTTTTTGGCCCATATCTCGGCAACCAGACCACTTAGCGACTTGAAACATGTACCAATCGATTCCTGCCATAATTTAGAACAATATTGCCGAAGAAAGTTTTCAAAAATATCCTTTCGTTTGGTCACAAAATGTTTTTTGAATTAATTAAAATTTGGACCGAATTAGTAGGCATTTTATGCAACCACACCACACGCGTCATCACGTTCAATAGCTGCGCCATCACGTTCAATGGCTGCCACATCACGATCGGTAGCTAGGCGCGCAATGGTGTTTAGTCATGTTACTCTATTGTAAATAAAACATGTAAAATACTGAAATGTTTTTTTTATAAAAAACGTTTTAATAACTAACCAATGGTTTTACTAACCCTGCTCTTGATTTACGCTACGACAGAGCTATTTTTAGATAACATAAGGAAATTGCGCTAAAATTGTCACTAGACTTTTTTTAATTACTTGTTTATGTGATACATTTTTCTTCCTTGAACAAAACTATCTGTACCGTTTAGTCGAGCTGCCTAGCTTTGGGTGGGTCGTCAGGGGTTGAAGGTTTATAGTACATTTAAAGTATATCTAGTCTAAAAGTTAAGAATAAAATATTTTTTTCTTAATCCCTTTTAATAGCTTACTTAAATCTACTATTTAAGTAGGCTATTAATCGAGTTAAGTTACCTGACAAACAAAACAGGTAAATGTAGCGCTGTGAGCATTCGCATCTTACGGTTACAATCGGGATTTATATAAACCTCACTCGCTGCAGCTATTTTATTTAGATATCATCAGCTGTTCCCGTTCGTGCCCAAAACACATGATGCAGAGGACTTTTGATTACCGTACTTGAGTTAGGTACCCATCAGAGCTGAGTGAACTCGGGTTAGCAGTCTAGAGTTCGACCGCTAGACCCTACCGTCCCAAATTAATCTCTCTATAGTGTAGTGTTATCTCACCATAATTAATATTTTATTATTTTACACGAAGCCTTACTGGACATGTTACAGCTTTCGTTAAATGTTACGTCTTGAACAAGTCTTAGAGAAGTTATTTGGTTACAGGAATCCTACTTTGATCTGGCCACAAGTTCTATGCTCACCCCGTCAATGCCTCTGTGTCAAGTCTACTGGGACGCCGGCGGGGTTATCGCTATACAGAACATAGAACAGTTCTTTCAACATGTGGCACGGCACTTTAAGGTTGGTCAAACAGAACATAGAACAGTTCTTTTAACATGTGGCACGGCACTTTAAGGTTGGTCAAACAGAACATAGAACAGTTCTTTCAACATGTGGCACTTTAAGGTTGGTCAAACAGAACATAGAACAGTTCTTTCAACATGTTGCACGGCACTTTAAGGTTGGTCAAACAGAACATAGAACAGTTCTTTCAGCATGTGGCACGCCACTTTAAGGTTGGTCAAACAGAACATAGAACAGTTCTTTCAGCATGTGGCACGCCACTTTAAGGTTGGTCAAACAGAACATAGAACAGTTCTTTCAGCATGTGGCACTTTAAGGTTGGTCAAACAGAACATAGAACAGTTCTTTCAACGTGTAGCACGGCACTTTAAGGTTGGTCAAACAGAATATAGAACAGTTCTTTCAACATGTGGCACGCCACTTTAAGGTTGGTCAAACAGAACATAGAACAGTTCTTTCAACATGTAGCACTTTAAGGTTGGTCAAACAGAACATAGAACAGTTCTTTCAACGTGTGGCACGGCACTTTAAGGTTGGTCAAACAGAACATAGAACAGTTCTTTCAGCATGTGGCACGGCACTTTAAGGTTGGTCAAGCAGAACATAGAACAGTTCTTTCAACGTGTAGCACGGCACTTTAAGGTTGGTCAAACAGAACATAGAACAGTTCTTTCAACATGTGGCACGCCACTTTAAGGTTGGTCTAACAGAACATAGAACAGTTCTTTCAACATGTGGCACGCCACTTTAAGGTTGGTCAAACAGAAAATAGAACAGTTCTTTCAACATGTAGCACTTTAAGGTTGGTCAAACAGAACATAGAACAGTTCTTTCAACATGTGGCACGCCACTTTAAGGTTGGTCAAACAGAACATAGAACAGTTCTTTCAACATGTGGCACTTTAAGGTTGGTCAAACAGAACATAGAACAGTTCTTTCAACATGTGGCACTTTAAGGTTGGTCAAACAGAATATAGAACAGTTCTTTCAACATGTGGCACGCCACTTTAAGGTTGGTCAAACAGAACATAGAACAGTTCTTTCAACATGTAGCACGCCACTGTAATTTGTGTTTATTTACAGAATGTAAATTATCTTTACAAAAAAAAATCATTTTGACCAGTTTTTGTGTCTTCAAATATCTCTCGGGACATGGGGTAGGGATAAACATTTGCTAACCCCCGCCGCCCCCCCCCCCCCTTCATCCACTTCGGGTAAACTAACTGGACAGTCGGCAGCATTACTGTATTAAACAAACATGGAAGCTTCCAAATCTTTGATATACCAATAATCATATTTGAACTCAACTGATGAGTGTTTATGTTTTCACAGACCACCCTACAACATCTGGAGCTACATACTGGTGTCCGTCTAGACATGGAATGCTTTGAAGTGTTGTTTAAAAGGTACGCCAGCACCAAACGTGGTGTGGTTTCTGTGTATATGCTATATATTTTCAATAACAATTTACTTCAGTTCAAATCTAGTTCTGATGTTGACTTAAGTAGTACACTATCGTATCTAGGGTGTGGTGAAGTTATATCATTGTGTATAGGTTCAATGAGATGTTTTTATAGGCTTTTGTTTTGGTTTACAGTGTCAGTTTTATTGTTTGTTTGTGGGATTTGGTAAATAATGTAACTTAGTTTCGGCCAACTGATAATGTAGCAATTTAGTTCAGGATTTGCTGATACATCTGTCTCCGGTGATAGTGCAAGAATATTTATTAGTTAAACTAGTTACAAATTAATAAATTCAATAATAGAAAGGAAGATAAACAAGATTAATTTTCTAGAGAATAGCTGGCCATCTAAGGAGAACTTTTATCACGGCAGAGTGATTTTATTTGCCTGCTGTTACCTAATTTTCAAAGCATTTAAACTTTTCTTTAAGGGTTTATTTTTTATTGTTTAAATGAATAAAGTGAGTTGTGTGTGTGAGATGTGTGAGCTAATGTGTACGGTAAGCAAACAAGGGGCCAATATGTTTACAATGACCACATTACCAATGTATGCTTAACGTGTTAGATACGATATGAGTTTCTGATGTGTGTCATACATGTATGTAATGTTATTCCTGCCCTACCTGTGTGTCCACAGTTTACAGCCGTGCACAAATCTGGACAACTTGTCACTAGGTTTGACCTGTGACTTGAGTGATGACGTAGAGATGTACACGACAGCCATCAGAGATGTCATGACGCGATGTCCGGTCTCATGTGACGTCACACTGAACGGTCAAGCAGTCAAATAAAACTGGTCAGTCTGACACGGTTGGTGGGGTCAGGAGAGTTCACCATGTTGGATCAGTTCACGAATGGTTTTAGATCGTTATTAAAACAATGTTCTACACAAAATATTCTGTTTTTTTTTTTATTTCTTAATCAAACAAATATAAACAATTCTTTACTATAATAAGCTTTAAATGAAATGAAAATAAAAACAAACTTGTTTTATCCAATAAAAGCTTGCGTCGCTCATAATGTTTCTTACAAATTTTACCCACCACAGCTTTTATAAAAGAAAACAAGTTTTCTTGCCCCCCTTTCATCCCCACTCCACCATATCGGAAATTTTAATTGCACCCCCAAAACTTGCCGCATTGATCACGTTTCTACAAAATGTAGTCCCTAGACAGATAATTAAAGGTATATATGAGAATTTTGTATATGAATTTTTGAAGTGACTAATTGATTGATTCAGTAAATTTGGTGTAAAACAAATATGTTTAATTGAGAACCATCGAATAAAAAAATATTTTAAAATTTAAGTGTTAGTTTACGTTAATTACATTAATTTTTTCTAATTACACCTCACTGATACGGAAAAACATAATTTTGCACTCTTGTCCGTATATCTGTGTGTGTGTGTATGTCTGTGTGTAAACACGATAACTTGAGTACCGTTACAGCTAGGTTGATGAAATTTCATATATAAGTATTTTATCGAAATCGTAGATCCTTTTTATTTCTTGAGCTATTTCCTATAACCGGAAGTGTTACTTTTTCTACTTTGAATTATTCAAAAGCCTATAACTTGAGTACTATTTCAGATAGATAAAATCTAACATGTAAGTAAAAGATCTAATTCTCTACCTTCTGTCAAATTTTGAATAATTTCCGTTGACCGGAAGTAATAATTTACGCTATTTCCGATTTCATGTAAATTAATAAAGTACTAATAATATTGCGCACTATTATGCACATTTTTTTTGGTGTTCGCTTGGTGCGCAATTCTTTTTTCTATGAGATTTTATTCTATTTTTAAAAGTTTAAGTAATTAAAAATCATGTCTATATTCCAAGTTATATAAGAATATTCGAGAAAGTTTAGGGGAGATCACTCCCAGTTTATTTTTTATTTTGTAATACGACTCAGTCCAGATAGGATGCAATGATCACACACCGAGGTTTAGTGTATTCTGGGCCTGACCCAGAGAGACAACACAACACACTATTGTGTGTATAACTCATGAACTGTTGAACGCAGCCAAGTTATAACGTGTTATGTTACACAGGTCGAGGTACAGGTAAATAGTTGTTAAGTAGTAAATATTTATGATGTAGATAACATATCATCTACAAAATGACAACCCATAGCCCTTTATAACGCTTATAGTCTTGCTAACTAATTCACTTACGGCCATCGGCTCATTGGGTCTTGATCCCACGACACATTAGGTTGTACTGCCGTGCCGTCTTGCAAGTCTTGATCTCACGACATATTAGGTTATATTGCCGTGCCGTCTTGCAAGTCTTGATCTCACGACACATTAGGTTATATTGCCGTCGTGCAAGTCTTGATCTCACGACAGATTAGGTTATCTTGCCGTGCCGTCTTGCAAGTCTTGATCTCACGACACATTAGGTTATATTGCCGTACCGTCTTGCAAGTATTGACCTCACGACACATTAGGTTATATTGCCGTCTTAAAGTCTTGATCTCACGACACATTAGGTTATACTGCCGTCTTAAAAGTCTTGATTTCACGACACATTAGGTTATACTGCCGTCTTACAAGTCTTGATCTCACGACACATTAGGTTATACTGCCGTCTTAAAAGTCTTGATCTCACGACACATTAGGTTATACTGCCGTCGTGCAAGTCTTGATATCACGACACATTAGGTTATATTGCCGTCATCCAAGGCTTGATCTCACGACACATTAGGTTATATTCCCGTCTTGATCTCAAGACACATTAGGTTATATTGCCGTACCGTCTTGCAAGTATTGACCTCACGACACATTAGGTTATATTGCCGTCTTAAGGTCTTGATCTCACGACACATTAGGTTATACTGCCGTCTTAAAAGTCTTGATTTCACGACACATTAGGTTATACTGCCGTCTTACAAGTCTTGATCTCACGACACATTAGGTTATACTGCCGTCTTAAAAGTCTTGATCTCACGACACATTAGGTTATACTGCCGTCGTGCAAGTCTTGATATCACGACACATTAGGTTATATTGCCGTCATCCAAGGCTTGATCTCACGACACATTAGGTTATATTCCCGTCTTGATCTCACGACACATTATGTTATATTGCCGTCGTGCAAGTCTTGATCTCACGACACATTAGGTTATATTGCCGTCTTAAAGTCTTGATCTCACGACACATTAGGTTATACTGCCGTCTTAAAAGTCTTGATTTCACGACACATTAGGTTATACTGCCGTCGTGCAAGTCTTGATATCACGACACATTAGGTTATATTGCCGTCATCCAAGGCTTGATCTCACGACACATTAGGTTATACTGCCGTCGTGCAAGTCTTGATATCACGACACATTAGGTTATATTGCCGTCATCCAAGGCTTGATCTCACGACACATTAGGTTATATTCCCGTCTTGATCTCACGACACATTAGGTTATATTGCCGTCTTGCTAGTCTTGATCTCACGACACAATAGGTTATACTGCCGTCTTGATCTCACGACACATTAGGTTATACTGCCTTTGTGCAAGTCAAAATTCCCCTACATAGATCTCCCAGAGGTCACATGACATGGAAAGACCGGTAATAATTAAAGGAAAACAGAATATAAAAACTTGCGGACCCACATCACGTGCAACCAAATTAGATCCTGATAAATGCACGTTAGCAGGTAACACTAGTATTGGTTACAAAATTCAATAATTAAAGATTTCTACTAGACTAGAACTGCATGAATAAAGATAGTCACACAAACGCACAGTTATTCGTTTTTGTTTTAATACTAATGATAGCGCGATAAACATCATTACTTCAAAAGGAAATATTATTTTAATCTATAACAATTAATTAATTAATCCTGTTCAAACACATTTAATTTGCATTGTCAACAAGTCTTGACCCGCTGATTGAATGCAATCGTTCTGGTAGAAGTGGTCAAAATATCGCTCGTCAACTCCGACCCAAAGAAATAAACAGATTAAAGAAGTTAATTATATTGTGAAGGAAATAAATGCAGGAATCATTATCAAACACCTAAAAATTTCGTAAAAATGTAATAAAATAGACAGATGTATTTATCCTAATCTATATACCTCCAAAATCATTAGAGAATTCAAATGGGGGGGGGGGGGGGGGACTGAGTTGTCGAAAAACCTTCCATCATATTGTTGACATGGAATAAAAACGAGCTTTTTTTAAGATTTTGTAATCAAAGCGACCATAAAAATAATAAAACATAAAAACTTAAGCCTAAAAATTATTCAGATAGTTAAAGGCTTTAGAATCAATGTTATAAAAGTTGTAAATCCAGAGAACTTGAAAGTAATTGTCTGAGTTTAAGGCTACATTTCTAATTATTTTCACTTTCGTAAGACTCCGTGATTGATTTCTGACAGCCTCAAATCAGTTTTTTTTTTAATTTCCTAAACTTTGCAGATACAGTTTTTAATTAACGATGCAAATTTAAACCATATGACTTAGGTCTCGTTTTTTCGCTTACAATTTGCATAATAAAATGTATGCTAGCCTATCGAATAGCAGGATGCCGTTGTTTATGTCGCCATTACACGTGAAAACCAAATTGTCTTTAATTTTCTTTTACTTTTTATTTAGTTACAGAAAATATTTTTAAAAAAAATACATCCAATCTTTAGTAAAGTCCGAAAAAACAGACATGATTTTAAAACCATTTTAGTTCTAACTAAACCGGGCATGATTTTAAAAATATTAAATGGGCCTCTCGAATACCTTTGAGACTTTTCTCGCTCGGGTCCATTGAAGTTTGAGATGTCAAAGTGCTTTCATTGAAATCATTCAATAAACGTCATCAAAACTTGTGTAGCGCAACAATTTCAACATCCTGTAAACAAAATGGCGCGACTGTAAATATTTATAAAAATTCACCTTCAATTAAACCAGATAAAAAAAACTGCACCAACCCTCTAGGTTACCATGGCATTTTATTTAAGCAGTCTCAAACAGGCAGCTGTAGATTTTGTCATGGGTGGAACTACACAGGTAAAGTCACGGGTAAAACATTAGTGTAGCGTCGTGAATTCGGCCAAAACAAGTAGTGTGGGGGAGAGTGAATTAATGAATGTGTCTATATGAGTATATTTTCGTATATTTTAATAAAATGTTATAGATAATTAATAATAGATCATCATTGATGAGAGATAGTAACTTTGCTATAAAAAACAGCAGCCATCTCGAGAAAATATCATTTAGAGTAGCTTCCCTTCCATTTCTATTCGTATGGAAATGTATTTAAATATGATTGTCTTGTATTTGTATAAGCCTACAAAGCATTTTTAAAAAATTCTTTTATTTAAAAACTGAAATTACTAACAAACAACACCATCAATTCTAGAACATGGATTTCAACATGGATTTCAACATGATTTCAACATGATTTCAACATGATTTCAAAATGATTTCAACATGATTTCAACATGATTTCAACACGATTTTAACATGATTTCAACATGATTTCAACACGATTTCAACACGATTTCAACATGATTTCAACATGATTTCAACATGATTTCAACATAATTTTAACATGATTTCAACGCGATTTCAACATGATTTCAACATGATTTCAACATGATTTCAACATAATTTTAACATGATTTCAACATGATTTCAACATAATTTTAACATGATTTCAGCATGATTTCAACATGATTTCAACATGATTTCAACATGATTTCAACATGATTTCAACATAATTTCAACATGATTTTAACATGATTTCAACATGACCAGAACAAAGTACTGGAAAAGCAACCACACTGTTGTGGCATAGCTGAAGACAAGGGGCTTACTATCAGTTAGCTATTATGGTGCTACACAAAACACATATAAGCAAACACAATATGCTTTTTTGTTTCCAACAAGTACCAATTAGGAAGTATTTGCGCATAATGGGAAATGTATGAATATTTTAGATAACTGGAATCTGCCAATCTTCTGTTTTATTTTAATACAGGAATTTATCCGCCCAACTGTTGAATAAAAATTCTATAAAATAAAGTTTTAACAATTTAAAAAAAAAAATACATCTGAACTTTATATACTAGATTTATTTCAAAAACATGGTAGGACTACATAATTTTAAAGTTTTAATATAATAGGAGAGAGGGTGGGTTAGTCGTCCGAGGTGCCGACTTTAGGGGGTGCCGACCTTAGGGGGCGACAAACTTAGGGGGCGCCGACTTTGGTGGGCGCCGAACAGGGGGAAAATTAAATGCGTTTTCAGCTGTGTTTCTAAGTAATAAAAATTATTTCAAACTCTTTTCTGCATCAATTCAGTGAAACCAATATACAAACCGTGAATAAGTGACTTGTAAAAACGCTCTAGGCCTTTCTACCTAAGCTAATAGATCTCCCGGGTCGCTACCAGGTGTCTACCTGGCAACTATTGTTTAATACAATTTCAGCCTGACTGGAGCCAGCTGCCGAACGAGATTTTGCTGCACGTCTTCAGTTACCTTAGCAACAGCGACAAGTACCACGCCGCCCTCACCTGCAAGTCCTGGCTCCGTCCACTCTCAGTGCCGACTCTGTGGCAGTCCGGAGATTTTGTTTTTGACGACAAGAGCGACGAGAAGGCCATTAGGTTTGTTGAAATCGCCGGCAAAACATTACGTCATATTAAGGCAGAATGTAAAAAACTTGAAAATCTTCAATTGGGTAAGTCACACAACAGAGTATAGTAAAAATGTATGTGTATGTGTCAGCCTGTCTGAAACTTAATTACATGAGTAAATTACATGTGTACTTTTTAAGAGTATATTACATGTGTAATTTCATGCGTAAATTACATGTGTACTTTTTAAGAGTATATTACATGTGTAATTTCATGCGTAAATTACATGTGTACTTTAATGCGTAAATTAATTGTGTAATTTCATTAGTAAATTACATATCTAATTTCATGAGTAAATTACTTGTATAGATTCATGAGTAAATTACTAGTGCAGTTTCATGAGTAAATCACATGTAAATTTTCTTGCTTTGAATAGTATTGGAATACCGCCCTTCTTCTTCGGAGAAGATGTATCTGTTTTTAGCCAGCCTTTTGAATTCAGAGAATCACCAGCTGTTGACCTTCAGACTGAAAAATATGAACAGTTTGGAAACGTATTGCGGTGGGGCGGAAAGAATGCCGTTGTCTGAGGTCACTAAACTCCTGAAGAGATTCTTGAAAGCCCAGCGACAGCTTCGTGTCCTTGACCTTAGCAATAGCGAAAAGTCTGTGAGGTTCTGTTTCGAGGATGATTCTATTACCGTGAGGCAAGGTTAGTTAAGACAGTCTAACATCGGGCCTGTAGTGGTGGGCTTACAGAGAAGTATGGTCCGTTTATGTTGGGCTTAGAGAGATGTGTCAATAGAAACAACACGAGGGGCGGGATAGACGGCGAGACGTTGGGTGTCTACAAGACAGTTCAATTACGTAAATGCAGAGGCGTAGCAAAATATATAGAGAAAAACTTGAGGGAGGGGGTGCAAATTGAAAGTTGGAGGGGGGGGTGCAAATCGAAAATATGAGGGGGGGGGGGGGTGACACCATTAAGTGCCGCACCGGGTGACACCCGACCTCGCTACGCCACTGCATAAATGTAACAAGGTTTGTCTTAAAGTTGACCTAATTGTGGCTCAGTGGGGTAGATTATTTTTGGACATTTTATACTGCTAATGTATCAGATAATCTAAACAAAAACATGCTCATGTATCAGATAATCTAAACAAAAACATGCTCATGTATCAGATAATCTAAACAAAAACATGCTCATGTATCAGATAATCAAAACAAGTACATGCTAATGTATCAGATAATCTAAACAAATACATGCTCATGTATCAGATAATCTAAACAAAAACATGCTCATGTATCAGATAATCTAAACAAAAACATGCTCATGTATCAGATAATCAAAACAAGTACATGCTAATGTATCAGATAATCAAAACAAATACATGCTCATGTATCAGATAATCTAAACAAAAACATGCTCATGTATCAGATAATCAAAACAAAAACATGCTAATGTATCAGATAATCTAAACAAAAACATGCTAATGTATCAGATAATCTAAACAAAAACATGCTCATGTATCAGATAATCAAAACAAATACATGCTCATGTATCAGATAATCAAAACAAAAGCATGCTCATGTATCAAATAATCAAAACAAATACATGTTCATGTATCAGATAATCAAAACAAATACATGCTCATGTATCAGATAATCAAAACAAAAACATGCTCATGTATCAGATAATCAAAACAAATACATGCTCATGTATCAGATAATCAAAACAAAAACATGCTCATGTATCAGATAATTAAAACAAATACATGCTCATGTATCAGATAATCAAAACAAAAACATGCTCATGTATCAGATAATCAAAACAAAAACATGCTCATGTATCAGATAATCTAAACAAAAACATGCTCATGTATCGCCTAACATAATTAAACAATAAGTAGAAAGTTTATTTATATATCCCAAGGCATGAAATTGCTGATAGCAGCTGGCAAACACTGCGCCACCACGCTACATACCCTTGCTATCGCCAGGCTCGTTAGCTTGAAAAGTAGTTTCCATAATAGCATGAGTTATCTTCCGCAATTTCGAAACGCCATCTCTGGTTTCAGCAAGTTATCAGGTGGGATGAATTACGTCATTTTTATAGTTACATGAATTAATATTTTTTTCTAGTCTTGCACATTTTAAGTAAATAACTATTATTATTAATGTAATGAATAATCAATCATTTATTTGCCTATGTAGAAGTGTGATGGCTTATGATGGTGCTTATAAATGTACATGGAAGTAAACTCTGATTATCTCTCGTGTTCATTAATTGCTATTTAGTCTGGAGAGTAGACAAACACTTCTCAATGTAGCAGTTCATTCCGTTTTAAAAGTACCTTGACCATCCAACTCTAACAATACCACCCAATGCTGATAAGATCTTGACTCACTAACTCAGACCAGACTCTTACAACGCAACTCTAACAAGACCTTAACAACACACATCTTAACTCTGAACAGATTTTAACCACTAAGCTCTGATTCGATCTTGACCATCTATATCTTGCAAGACCTTGACCACCTAACTCTAACAAGACATTGACCACTTAACTCTAACAAGACCTTGACCACCTAACTCTAACAAGATTTTGACCACCTAACTCTAGCAAGACCTTGACCACCTAACTCTAGCAAGACCTTGACCACCTACCTCTAGCAAGACCTTGACCACCTAACTCTAACAAGACCTTGACCACCTAACTCTAGCAAGACCTTGACCACCTAACTCTAACAAGAACTTGACCACCTAACTCTAACAAGACCTTGACCACCTAACTCTAGCAAGACCTTGACCACCTAACTCTTACAAGACCTTGACCACCTAACTCTTACAAGACCTTGACCACCTAACTCTTACAAGACCTTGACCACCTAACTCTAACAAGACCTTGACCACCTAACTCTTACAAGACCTTGACCACCTAACTCTAACAAGACCTTGACCACGTAACTCTAGCAAGACCTTGACCACCTAACTCTAACAAGACCTTGTACACCCAACTCTAACAAGACCTTGACCACCTAACTCTAGCAAGACCTTGACCACCTAACTCTTACAAGACCTTGACCACCTAACTCTTAAAAGACCTTGACCACCTAACTCTAACAAGACCTTGACCTCACAACTCTAACAAGACCTTGACCACCTAACTCTTACAAGACCTTGACCACCTAACTCTAGCAAGACCTTGACCACCTAACTCTAACAAGACCTTGACCACCTAACTCTAACAAGACCTTGACCACCTAACTCTAACAAAACCTTGACCACCTAACTCTAGCAAGACCTTGACCACCTAACTCTAGCAAGACCTTGACCACCTAACTCTAACAAGACCTTGACCACCTAACTCTAACAAGACCTTGACCACCTAACTCTAACAAGACCTTGACCACCTAACTCTAACAAGACCTTGACCACCTAACTCTTACAAGACCTTGACCACCTAACTCTTACAAGACCTTGACCACCTAACTCTAACAAGACCTTGACCACCTAACTCTTACAAGACCTTGACCACCTAACGCTAACAAGACCTTGACCACCTAACTCTAACAAGACCTTGACCACCTAACTCTAGCAAGACCTTGACCACCTAACTCTAACAAGACCTTGACCACCTAACTCTAACAAGACCTTGACCACCTAACTCTAGCAAGACCTTGACCACCTAACTCTTACAAGACCTTGACCACCTAACTCTAACAAGACCTTGACCACCTAACTCTAACAAAACCTTGACCACCTAACTCTAGCAAGACCTTGACCACCTAACTCTAGCAAGACCTTGACCACCTAACTCTAACAAGACCTTGACCACCTAACTCTAACAAGACCTTGACCACCTAACTCTAACAAGACCTTGACCACCTAACTCTAACAAGACCTTGACCACCTAACTCTTACAAGACCTTGACCACCTAACTCTTACAAGACCTTGACCACCTAACTCTAACAAGACCTTGACCACCTAACTCTTACAAGACCTTGACCACCTAACGCTAACAAGACCTTGACCACCTAACTCTAACAAGACCTTGACCACCTAACTCTAGCAAGACCTTGACCACCTAACTCTAACAAGACCTTGACCACCTAACTCTAACAAGACCTTGACCACCTAACTCTAGCAAGACCTTGACCACCTAACTCTTACAAGACCTTGACCACCTAACTCTAACAAGACCTTGACCACACAGCGCCCAATTCTCAAAAGACTGACGCTATATATCCGTAATATTTAGTTTCGTATGTTCTTCTCGTGTGTTTACCATATTCCACATAACGAGAGGCCTTGTGACTTTCAGAACTTGACCTCAGCTATGGTTATCTGGAAGATGACCTGCTGCTCAGCTTGGCAGCCAATACAAATACCAGCCTCAAGGTGATCACAGTTCGTGCTGACGAAATCCCAAAGTTAGAAAGTCGAATAACCCCTCTAGCATGGGAGAAGCTTACAGCGGCCTGTCCTGAGCTAAAAGCGATTTTTCACATCAAGCACAAATATGTGAGCCGATGTTTTAAAAATGCATAAAAACCTTCAGTATAAAAAGATTTTACAAACCTTCAGTATAACAATTTTTAATAAACACCAAAAAAAAAAGAAAGGCAGGAAATATTAACATCAGTTTACTTTTGATATTAACCTAAAAGTTGTGTCTGTCTGCTAACAGTTTTAACACACATACAGAGGCGTAGCGACCCTTCCCGGCGGCCGGGGACAAACTTTCGATTTGCACCCCCCCCCCTCAAACTTTCGATCCGCACCCCTCAAAATTCCGATTTGCACCCCCTCCCCCATCAAACTTTCCATTTGCACCCCCCTCAAACTTTTGATTTACACCCCCCCCCCTAACGTTTGATTTACCAACACCCCCTCAAACTTTTCAATTTGTTTTTCCAACCCAACACATATGTCTCCCCGCTCCCCCCAGCTACGCCTCTGCACACATCCGCTTTTACTGCAGTAGCTCAACAAACTGCTCACGTTGAATTTATTATTTTATTTATTTATTACACTGAGTAACATTGTATTATTTCCAAGAGGATCAGACATAATTCTATACAGAATTGCAAAGTAATTTGAACCTTATTCCATGCAGGAGTCGTACTCCCAAGACCCAACATTGATACTCACACCATCCATGCCGCTCTATCAAGTCAAGTGGAAAGCTGGTGACGCCATCGCTATAGAGAACTTAGAGAAGTTCTTTCAACATGTGGCACAGAACTTTCAGGTGAGGGGGATCAGAGGGACCCAGTAGTATGCAAAAAGTAGATACATAACTTTCAGGTGGGCTAATTGACGCTTATGAATCTTGAATATAAAAACTCTCAGGATTATAATCATATAATTGGTCTGTGTTTACAGAATACCTTACACCACCTTCATGTAAAATCGGGTGTCCGCCCTGACACAGAACGCTTTGAGCTTGTGTTCAAAAGGTAGGTGAACTCTGATTTGCTCTTCTGTGTTTTGAGGCTTTTTAAATAGGTATTTTGTCTAAACCACATTAGTTGTTTGAGTTGTAAGCAGTGCCGGCGCCAGGTTATTAAGCGCCATAGGGAAAACTTATTATAAGCGCACCCCCCCTCCCCCTCAATTTTTTTCGTGTCCCCGGTGACAAACTTTCGATTTGCACCCCACCCCCCCTAAACTTTCGACTTGCACCCCCCCCTTCAAACTTTCAATTAGTTTTTCCAACCCATTTTGGCGCCCTCTTACGGCCAGCGCCCAAGGCGACCGCCTAGTTCGCCTTATAGGTAGTGCCGGCCTTGTTTGTAAATAGTTAAACACATCGCCTAAGCTGTAGCAAGATGTTATGCCTACATTATAATCATTATATATCTTTTTGGATATTTGATGTTTTCTAAATCAATAAAACCAATTTTCTATTTCTATATTTTTTTTCCACTGATCAGTGGCGGGAGAGTTGGTATGTTGTAACTCACAGATAAAGTTGTAAAGTTCTCCTTCTAGATCTAACGAACTATAGGGTCGATGAACTACAGTTTGTATGTTTCTTGAGCCCGTCGAAATGGTGTAGTCAGCACAATGCTCAAATGTTAGATAAGGTGTGCGTTTGTGATGTGTATCACCAATGGATATAATGCTGTTATTTCTACCCTACCTGTGTATAATCAATGGATGTAATGCTGATATTCCTACCCTACCTGTGTGTCCATAGTTTGCAGGCGTGCAAAAATCTGGAAACCTTGTCCCTGTGTTTGAAAAGCTGCAAGAGTGGTGACGTAGAGATGTACATGCTGGCAATAAAAGATGTCATGACGCGATGTCCAGTGTCATGTGACGTCACACTGAACGGTCAAGTTGTGAAGGTGGGGTCAGGAGAGTTCACCGGGTTGACCAGTTGACGAATGTTTTTTTTTAGATCGGTGGTAAAACAAGGTAGTACACATTAGCATCTGTGTTTTTCATTTATCCTTTAAAAAATGGGTCCATTTAACTATTTGTTTTAAGTTTTGACTTGCAATCAATTTATCAATGTCAAGATGAGCTAGATGAAGAGACAACTATTGAAAGCTGATTAGCGATGGTTTGTTGAGATCTTAGACATAGGGTTAGCGCAGGAGCCATAGTATGGAGGTAAACAGTTCTAGAACAATAACATGGAGGCCAGCAGTTCTAGAACAATAACAATGATGAAAACAATACTAAAAAGCTGATAATTGCACCCCTCCTACTCGGTGATTTTAAGTTACCAACCGGAGAAAAATGTCAGAAAAACTCTTGATTTGTATAATAATATTTACTGATAATAACATAAAAAGTAGTTCCAAATGCATTTAGAGTTAATTATTTCCCATATTTGATTGTATACTTGATCAAGGGAATCAATTGCAATGAAATCTCTGTATTAAAACAATTTAGAAATCATTGTAGATAGGGAAAAAAACCCAGTAATGATATTTTATTTAAACGTCAATTAGACCACTGCATAACAATTTATAGTTAGAGATTTCAAACATTAAAAACTTGTATACTTTTTTCAGCTACTTAGGTTAACAACGTTTATCGTTTTGCGTCTGTAATTTTTTAAAACTGTAAACACTTTATTTAATACAGGCTGTACTATTTAAGTTTCTTTCTTTACCTTTAGATCCCATTTCAAAGAAGGGTCTATATTAAAATAAATTCACTGTGCAGGTTACATTTTAATATGATCAACACAAAAATGATCAACTAGCTGTCCTTCACAGAAAATCAATATTTTATCATAGGTTCGTGTGTTGCATGGTACCCAGAATTTAACCATTCGATTAACCGCATTCAATGATGATATTGATCTAACGTATCATGCAGTAGACAGAAGTTAAGCATGTAAAGAAAATACTATGCAATTGATTAGAGCATATTAGCTTCATGCATCGAATAGGTGCTAAAACATATTTAGCAGAAGACGAATTATGTAGCTATTGCTAGTTTATCTACAGAAAATGCATGTTAATTTTAAAAAAAAAATTAAGTAGTACAGTTAGTGTATTTTCTATAACATTTACATTCGTATTCGAAATTATTTTATTGTAATTAATATATATATATATATATATATATATATATATATATATATATATATATATATATATATATATATACATTTTTCAGTTGTTTATATACCATTCAATTTAAAAAAAACAGTTATTTTTTTTTTAAATCTCTGTTCAACACAATAGCCTGAAAAATGAAATACGTACTCTTTAAACAATTATATAGTCTACATTCTCGTCGCCATTTGTTTATATAAATAATAAGATGTAAAAAAAAAGAAATAAATCTATCTAATACTACTAAAACTCAACTTTGTTTACATGTTTGAATATTTATTTGTTTGTCTGATTTCTTACTGTAAGGAAACTGCTTTATATGGGGGGCTGTAAAATAGTATGTAGGTAGAGAATAATTTTTTATTGCAGACAGACACATTTATTTAAAGACGTTAATTAATTTATTGATTTATTCATACGTAGATTAACCACATTTGTTTTAAAGTTTTAGAACAATAGCTTAACTTTGACTGAATAGTGATGTTTGATAACTCATTTTTTGTTTGTTTGTTTTTCTGATTTGTTAAATGGTATTTTGAGTGGTAAATATTGTTCCTTCTTAAACACACTGTTAATTACAAACTAATTTAAAGCCGTTAATTAATTTTTAGATATATTCATGGGTAGATTAACCACAATTTATATAAAAGTTTAGAACTATGACTTTAGTATTAGTTAAATAATATATTTTCTTTATACAACGTTTTCAATTATTTTTCCTAAGGCCTACATGTGAATGACAAGGTTCACTATCAGCACCTCGCGGGGCACAGGGCAGGTGAAGTAGAGTGCACCTGTTTGTTTGTCCTAAGCATATGAAGGGATAGTGTGGTCAGAGACATGCTCGGCTGGAATGGTTTTTTTAAACGATAAAAACATGTTGTCTGAGACTTGGTGGGACACTGGGCAGGTGAAGTAGGGTTGAGTAAGTCACCTGTGACGTCAGCATATGAAGGGATAGTCCGAAATCGTTGTTTTCGGTGTTTTTATATGATAAAAAACATGTTTGAATGTGGGGTCTGTTTTTTTGTGACGATAAGTGACACTGCAGTAGCGTAGCGAGGGGGGTGGGGGCGAAGGGTACATATGTCCCCGGGCACCGACCTTAGGGGGCGCCAAAATGGGTTGGAAAAATAAATTGAAATGTTGAGGGGGGGTGCAAATCGAAAGTTTGAGGGGGGGGGGGGTGCAAATCGAAACCTTGAGGGGGTGGGGGGGGGTGCACATCGAAAGTTTGAGGGGGGTGCATATCGAAATCTTGCCGGGGAGGGGGCGGGGGGCGGGGGGTTCAAATCGAAAATTTTGTCCCCGGGCGCAGAAAAGGGTCGCTACGCCTTTGAGTGACAGACGTGATGTCATTTATGGATGACCTCCCCCCCCCCCCGAAACCCACAGTTATCTAACTACATAACGGGTAGTCTAGTATACTACTACAACTCAAGTTTGTTTACTAGTTTGTATATTTATTTTTTTGTTTGTCTATTTGGTTACATGAGAGAATCTGCACTATGAAGAGAGCAGTAAAATACGTATTTAGGTAGAAAATGATGTTCTTTTTTACCAAGCTGTTAATCACAAATTCATTTAAAGACGTTAATTAATGTATCGATATATTCATTGGTAGAAATACCACTTGAATTATAGAATTTAAAACAAGCAGATTTTTTCTCAAAAACTTTAACTTTCACCGGCTTTGTGACGTCATTTGATGTTAAGGCCAAACCAAAAATAGTTTTACAGAAAAATACAGGGACTTAATAGTAGTCCCTTAAAACGTACAGGAATAATCGCAACTTATACCGAAAAACGAATTTTAAGGCCAAAACAAAAAATAATCAGCTAAAAAGAAAAACATACAACAATAAGCAATACACAACAAAAATACAATCCATATTGAACCTCTTTATTGAACTATTTTAGTCCGTAACTCAAGTTTCTTACGCGGACTCTCTAAGTAAACTACCCAACTAATTTTACACGTAATCGAAAGCACCCAGATAGCTGAGTTGATAGTGTAATAGTTACCATGCCGGTGGTATGGGTTTGAGAGACAGCATGTCAATGTTACATTTTTTTCAGTATTTTTTTAAATATATAAATGATAAAGATTCCTATCCCAACTTGGGCAGGTAAAGTAGAGTTTACCACTTTCTGTATTATCAGCATGTAAAAAGTAGGGTGTTTAGACCCATGCTTAGCCGAAACAGGTATTTTTAAAAAACAATAACATGTTACCTGAGGTGTGGCCACTTTTTGAATGTGGGGTCTGACTTTTTGTTAAGATAAGTGACAGTGGGAAGGGAAAGATAAAAATCGTCAAATAAACATGACGTCATTTATTGATGACCCTCGAAACACACTGTTATTCAAGAATAACGTGTAGTCTAGTACAGGGGCGTAGCGAGGGGGGGGGGGGGCGGGGGTGCGGAATGCACCGGGTGACACCATTTAGGGGGGTGACACCAAGGCAAAAAATAGCAAAATATATAGAGAAAAACTTGAGGGGGGGGGGCGCAAATGGAAAGTTTGAGGGGGGGTGCAAATCGAAAACTTGAGGGGGTAGGGGTGCAAATCGAAAGTTTGACGGGGGTGCAAATCGAAAACTTGAAAGTTTGTCCCCAGGAAGGATCGCTACGCCTCTGGGGGGGGGGGTGACACCATTAAGTGCCGCACTGGGTGACACCCGATCTCGCGACGCCACTGGTCTAGTAATATCAAACATATAAAATAAGTGTTACATTTGTTCACAAAAGTAGTTGTAAAATCATGATTGCAAATAGTTTAAATCTACAATAATTTACTGATTACCTGTGCTATGTTAACATTATGTGCAAGTGGCTATTTACATAGAATTTTGATATCACTTATCAACAGAGTACATCCAATTAAAAATGTGAGATTAGTTATGAGATAATTAATTAAAACGTGAGCCACTTATCCAGAAGAAGATGTCTGATAAAACGCAGCTACCCAGGCTTGTTTAGAAAATCTTGCCAATGATGTCTTCATAAAACTTGTTGATCTTCTTATCCTGAAATGGAGAGCTAAAATTTAAAAATAGCCATTATGATTCGGTAAACAGAAAAGAGTATAATAAAAAAAATTAAAATATTTTTGTCAGTTTCTAGTTTTGTTTCGATTAATTTTAATGACCGATACACTGTTCGTTTTTAAAGAACTGACTAAAAAACTACTAAACTAACCATTGGATTAAAGAACATTTACCTTAACATGTGAAATAAACCAAGTGACTGACAACTTAACATGGGATAAAATTGAATAACTGACAACTTACCCTGGGATAAATAATTTTAGGATAATCTCTTCCATCAGCTCTCAATTTAAACATATATTGAAATGTATTATGATTCTAAAATCGTTGGACTAATACACGGAAAACGTTGGTTGCATACTATAGATTATTAATTTTTAATATAATCATTGACAATTTTCTAAATATGCATAATATAAAGCTGTTAAAGCATTAAAGTGCATATATACGATGCTCGTATCAATAGTCACATGGAACGAATGGCACAGCGATTGACTGACAATAAGTAAGTCTCGAGTTCGTATCCTGGGCTCAAGTAGGTAGGATGTCCCAGAGTCTACTCAGCTCTGATGGGTACTTGGCTGACGTTGGGGAAGGTAACTGCTGATATGCATCGTACTGACCGCACATCCCTTCAGGTGAACTCTACTTTAACTGGACCATGGACAGTATGAATTAGTGCTCTGTAAGTACCAGTATAAAACGGTTGCGGTGTCATATAATGGTACAATGTGACAAGAAAAGTGTATCAATATACACATGTGTCACCACAGTGTATCAATATACCCATGTGTCACCACAGTGTATCAATATACCCACTATTGAGTCATTACAAAATATCAATATAACCACTCATGTGTCACAACCTACTGTATCACTATACCCACCAATATGTCACCACACTGCTTTAATATACCCGCCAAAATATCACAGACCACTCTATCGAAATACCTACTAAAGTGTCACCACATTGTATCAAATAGATCTAGTATCAAACCAATTGAAATGCCGATTCTGGATAAATATCCGTTTTCAATGACATTGTTCGTTTCCGGTAAAATTTAAAGTTGAGGTGGTGATTTGGTTTTGGTTTCGATTTAGAAACAAAGACAACACTATCAAGAGTAAGGTACCCATTAGAGCTGGGTGGACTAGAGTCAGGTACCATCATAGCTGGGTGGACTAGAGTCAGGTACCATCATAGCTGGGTGGACTAGAGTCAGGTACCCATCAGAGAGCTGGATGGACTAGAGTCAGGTACCATCAGAGCTGGGTGGACAAGAGTCAGGTACCCGTCAGGTACCCATCAGAGCTGGGTGGACAAGAGTCAGGTACCATCATCGTTGCATGGGTTGGAGTTAGGTTAATTTGAGTCAGGTACCCATCAGACTTGGGTGGACTAGAGTCAGGTACCCATGAGACTTGGGTGGACTAGAGTCAGGTACCCATTAGAGCTGGGTGGAGTAGAGTCAGGTACCCATGAGACTTGGGTGGACTAGAGTCAGGTACCCATTAGAGCTGGGTGGAGTAGAGTCAAGTACCCATCAGATCTGGGTGGACTAGAGTCAGGTACCCATTAGAGCTGGGTGGAGTAGAGTCAAGTACCCATTAGAGCTGGGTGGACTAGAGTCAGGTACCCATTAGAGCTGGGTGGAGTAGAGTCAGGTACCATTGCGTGGGTTGGAGTCAGGTACCTTTGAGTCAGGTACCTTTGAGTCAGGTACCTTTGAGTCAGGTACCCATCAGTGCGGGGTGGGCTCAGCGACATCCTAGAGTCCCTACTCTGGACACAAGTACAATTTGTGTGCTACAGCATGCTTGGCATTTGAGCTGCTT